ACTGGAAATTCTCCGGTAGGAACTGTCTGTCGGTTGAAATGGTAAATAGATTAATCGAGGGCCATTCGGCCGATCGATCGATGGGTTCTGTGGAATTCTAATCGGGCCCATACTTTCTTCTCTGAATGCGGTGAGAATAAAATTATAAATAAAATTCCAGTAATTTTGGATCGCGATGGGGCTGTGCTGTCTCGCACAGTCCCATTAAGAGCGCGGAATCGGACGAAAAACGGATTTTGGCTTTGAAAGCGATGGGGACAAGGGTGTTGGACTGCTTCCTTCTCGTTTCAAGGATTTTTTTTGTTGTTGCATTATTCCTTTCGAGTTTCTTTTCGTCCTTTCGACGAGAAATTCCTCTTGACGGCTCACCATAACGTATGCATTATGCACCAGTTCCACCTACGCGGATGGAAGAGAGACGTTTACAACTCGCACAACTTTCGATGGGACCGCCTACACCGAAGCAGATACGATCAAAGCGAACTGAAGCGGAATTTTTCCCACGGAATTTTTTCCTCGGGATTTTTCCCTTGGAATTTTTCCCTGCAAAAGCGTACGGGTGTCATCTGCGTAGGATCGAAAGGATCCCCCGCCTACCCTCGTGGAACATCCCGACGTCGCACGACTCGAAAGAAGATTAATCCGATTGGAGCCTTCGATCGGCGCCTTCGAGCATCCTCGCGACTGCAGACGAGACCGAAAGCAGGGAAGAAGTCTCCATCTCCGACCTCCCTCCCTTCCTTTTATACTGGATGCCGCGGGGGCGAGCAGACGACAGCGGACGGCGGCGGACGGCAGAGTCCGACGACGGTTCGGGGTTTCCAGGATTCTCCGCACGTAATGCGGCCGGGCAGGGCGGAGCTCGGTTCGTACCTGGAAAGGGCTCAAAGGTTTTTTTCGTCTCTCGAGGCTCCCACTTACCTCTTGAATTATTCGGGGAGCATTACCTTTGTTCTTGCTTTTCTCTTCCTGAAAAAAAAAATCCTCCTTCTTTTTTTAAGTGAGCAAGCAGGAAGGACGTTAGAAGCCATAATTTCGTTCGAATCCGGTCACAAAAGGGTCAATATTGGCTTTTTTGGGGGCAAAACAATGCAGTAGAATTGGAAGAAAATGGGGTGAAATTTGAAGGTCCATTGAATTCCTATTATTGTTGGCTAATTTTAAAATCCAGATAAAATCGTTGTCAATTAATCGGTCGATCATTGATTGGAGTTGGCAGTTCGTGAACACGCGAACAAGTAAGTCGGAAATAAAAACCTCTCGCGATCATCGCACACCCTATAATCGTTACAGCTTAGCAGCTCGCATAATCTCTGTCACTTCGTTATTTGCACTCTTACGAGGGGAGCGCTAACTCCAGTTTTCCTCTCTTTTTGCTCATTTTCCTCGTCCCCTTTTTTTTCTTACCCTGGAAGAGCAAACAAGGAAATATTGGAGTGATTTTCCTCCCTTTTCTCTCTTCCCAGACTAAAATGGGAAAGGAACTGGAATGAGCGCTAGTTTTTAAGAGAATACGGTAAAATGATACCCGTTTTCTCTTCTTTCCTCGTATTCCAGAGCCATTCGCACTGAGTCTCTAGTTTCCACGCAAACTCAGGAATACTGCGGGAACTCCGGCACCCCACGACGCCTTTTTTCACCTTGTCTCGGTTCCGCTGCCTGTGACTACAGAGTAAGGTCATAGGTCGTAGGTCATAGGTCGTAGGTCATAGGTCGTAGGTCATAGGTCGTAGGTCATAGGTCGTAGGTCATAGGTCGTAGGTCATAGGTCGTAGGTCATAGGTCATAGGTCGTAGGTCGTAGGTCGTAGGTCAGAGGGTTGTCTTGTAGCATAGTTCGTCGTTGGAAAAAATTCATTCCCTAACGGTTCCGACGAGTGCCAAGTTCTCACTCTCGCGAAAAAGACGAGAAGAAAATTTGGTTAATTCGATCAGTTGGGAAACGTTGTTTTAAGTTGATGGTTCATTGCCCTTGAAGTAGTTCGCACTTGGAATTCGTCCCGGGCCCTCGTTTTCCCCCCATGAGACATATCGATCCGATGTCGGCTGACGAGATTGCGCCTAAATTAGCCAAATATTCAAGTCAATATTGGACGATACTTCATAAGATGTAAGCCTAATATTGGTGCCGAAAATGATCAATACTGTTTGACATAAGTCCAAAATTTCAGGAAATATTGCGACAGCTCTAAAGCAAACGCCTCGATATCGACGAAAATTATGTTTGCATAACCGGAGAGTAAAAAAAAAAATATGAAATTGAATCAGCAGCTGCAACGAACACCTGAATACCGGCCGAGCAACACGATAAACGTCCGCCCACATCTCCACGGCAAAAAAGGAAGAAAAACGAGAGTGGCAGATGACGTCATCGGTATCCTCCAATAGCAAAGCATTACTCATCCCATCGCCTCTCTCCTCCCCTGTCATTAGACTCCACTCCAGTGCATTCCTCTGTTTTCTCCTGCTTTCTCCATCGATTGCTCCGGGATGGGGGGGATAAAGGTGAAACCGTGTTTCGCAGCAACTCTTTGTGCATTGTAACGTGTAAACATCGCAAATATGAATCTCAAAGGAATAGGCGTACCGTGGATGGAAAAAGTGTGGGCGAGGGGGGGAGAGCCCGGAGAACTCTCGGAAACTGTTATGCATTTCGGCGTTTCATAGGTCTTTTTTTTCTTATTTTCTTGAAAAGTGGGGGGCACGTGCCCTCCTGGCCCCTTTCATGCTACACCACTGACACAAAGGAGAATATATATTCCTTATGTTCCCGCAATAGATTGAATAAAATTCATAATTTGTCAGCCAGACAAGTCCGAGCAAAGATTCCATTAATCATTGATGGGGTGGGGGAGTTAAATGCAGCTTCTGAATCGTCTTCCAAATCTGCTAAAAACCGAACGGAATTGAAAACGGGACGTCGAGTTCCTTACACGCGATTGAAAACACGTATTCTTCAATGCGTCGAGTTTGACATACAGGGATGGCAAAAAGAAAAATACCAATGACTTTTCACTTGTATATCTCTGCTCTGGATGGAGCCACTTTCACTAAATGTGCACGCTGCATAGATGGAATTGTGAAATTTGTATCTAAATTGATTTCACCAAAGTTAGACAAAGAGCAATCCCAAAAAAATCGGAAATTGAAAATGCATTGGGGACTCCAATCCTTTCCGAGTGCATGAGCATGTAAGGGAAGGGAAAACATGAATACATTTTGAGGAAACCCACTGTTTTTTTTTGCATATTGATTCATCTGCCATTGATTGGAAAAAGGCTTATCTCTCTCTGCAAGCAAAGAGCAATGCAAAAAAAAAGAATTTCAACAAGAGAAACCGATGCAGCCCTGATGATCCGCTCGGGCGTGTCCTCCAGTCCATTAGCATCAGCTCTCGTCCGCTTTCATTTTCCAACTTCTTTTTAGTAGCTCGCAGCCTTGACTAGGAGCAATGAATCTGGAAAAAAAAGTTTGAAGATATTTTGGGAACTTATCCATCTATGCACATGCGTGAAAATAATTCCAACAGGAGAAGAGATTTGATTTTTTTTTGCATACCCTGTAAAATTGTTTGGGATCTACTATGATACAATTCCCGATAAGCGTCAAGGACTCAAGAACGCTCCTAAATCGAGTTGGCTGATGTCGGACCATCACATTTTCTCATGATCGGTTCGATATTGAACCGATATAGGTTTCGTAATGTTAAGGATACAATACTTCGCCAATATGAATTATATTTGCCAATATATAGCCACTCTAAAATTTTGATCCGATGTTGAGACAATATCTGATGCTGCACGCCCCCGCCCCCATACATACTCTTTTCGATGCCACAAACTCCAGTTGCACTCCGCCTAATAATAACTTCGTCCCTTTTCTTCTTCGAAAAGCTGCAGAAGTGGAACTGTCGACAGCAAGGTAAGGGAGCTTTCATACGTGGTTGCTGGGGAGCAAATATTTTTATCTGTGGTTTCGTTTATTCAGTCTTGTCAACGTTGAGGACGTGGAACAACACCACCTGGAACAACCTAACCAGAAGAAACACAAAAAAGTACTTTTACGACTTTGAATTTACCAAAAATGCTTCCCGCCCAATCGACGAGGTAGAAGCAGACTACTCTGCGTAGGCGGGGCTAAGGGGACGAAGCGATCTTAGTAATGGCGGCGTCCTCCTCTTCGACAAGGAGGAAGGGGTGATGTGACTGCAGTCAAGTAGAATCATCCTTCACTGAATTAACTTCGGAAGTTACCGAGCTGAAACCAAGTAGTATCCTAGAGCGACAAGTGATTTGAAGCTTCCAACAAACATTGAAATATGCTTGTGGTGTGGAGGAAAAGTCCTGCATTTGTCCACTCGAAAGGTTAGCAGTTTTCAATTTTGCTATTGTTGTCGATGACATGATGGGAGCCCATGTTTTATTTGTTTGCGATTTCATGTCACACTGATGGTGGTGTTTTATCTTGAACCTTAGCGACCGCTGCTTTATCCTTGAATCTACAACGGAACATCTCTGATTCTACTGGAGATGTCAGCGTCAAACCTCTCCCCAAGCCTAGTCTCAGTGCCCTAAGGAAAGGAACCGGAGGTGTTTGGATTTATTTTTCAACGTAAACATGAAGGTCTCATTGAAGGTGCCTAATTCTGTCAATTTTCTTTCAAAGGTCGGTCAAGCTTCAATGGAATCGTATGCACAGTATTTGGGGCCTCCGGTTTCATTGGACGTTACCTCTGCAACAAACTGGGGAAGATAGGCACTCAGATCATATTACCTTACAGAGGGGATGATTCAGATATCCTCCCACTCAGAATGGTGGGAGATTTGGGGCAGGTCCTCTTTCAGCCATTCAGCCTCAAAGATGAAGAATCCATCATGAAGGTAGGGAACTGTATAAGTTGACTTGGGTTCAGCATTTTTTGCTGAGTAAAATTTATGTCCCACATCCTGAGATGGGAGTTCCAAGTACTCAGAGGTCTTCTCAAGCATGCCAGGGCTTGTACAAGGAAATAAATGCAGGACTTGGTTGGCTTTGAATCAGGGAACCAAGGGAGCCAAACTTGTTACCAACTGAGCCACTCACCTGTCTTGCCTTTGTGAATCTTTGCCATATCTGGCCCTTGCAAGATCTTTGGATATAATTTGTTTTGGTTTGTTTCTAGGGCATTCATATCTGAGAAAGAGTGCACCAAATTTTTTAAATGATGGATTGCAAAATGTTATTGAAATAATCAGGTCAGACAGTGGATGTGAATAGTCTAATACTGGATCATTCATTTCCAGGCAATGAGATACTCGAATGTCGTTGTGAACCTAATTGGACGTGACTGGGAAACCATCAATTACAAATTTGATGATGTACACTGTGAAGGTGCAAGAACCATTGCTAGATGTGCCAAGCAAGTCGGAGTTGAAAAATTGATTCACTTTTCTTCGCTTAATGCTGCTGAAATTCCCAAAGGTTTGCCTCACTGTTTATGTTTGCCATTGTAAACCCTTGATGTCTGTCGCCAAGGGAACTCAGTTTTTCAGACCATGGCAAATTTTCCTTAAAGGCATAGTGTTGAAGAAAGGATCAAAGTTCCTTGCAAGCAAATGGAAGGGTGAGCAAGCAGTCAGGGAAGAGTTCCCTGAAGCCATCATCATGCGGCCTGCAGATGTCTATGGCCAGGAGGATCGCTTCTTGAAGTCAGTGTAAACCCTGCAATTTCTTTCTCCATTAGGATCTGCTATGGAAAGTCACTTTCATCTTTTTATGTGTTTCTCTCTGATTAGTTACTATGCAACATTTTGGAGGAGGCAGTTCCACTGGATGCCACTATGGTACAAGGGCGAGAGAACCATCAAGCAACCTGTTTTTGTGTCAGATGTGGCTCAGGGCATAGTCAATGCCATTCTGGAGAGGGACACAGCTGGGAAAACATATGAATGTATTGGGCCAAAGAGATACCAGTTAGGAGAACTTGTTGACTACTTTCATCGAGTCATGAGAAGGGTATGAATAACAGGATGTTTGTTAAAGGTACTTGATATGTAGGCTAACTGAGGGAATTCAAAAACTGTGCATGCTTTTGCTGAATCCATCAGGACGGTGTGGAGTGGGGATACCGGCGGTATGATATGCGCTGGGATCTGCTTTTCCAGTTGCGTATCACCCTCATTGAGAAGCTTTGTTACAGCTGGCCCATCAATACCATGATTTGGGAGAAGGTTTGTGCAGTTAAAGTATCTTTGGTAATCATGAAATTGACTGAGCTGTGACTTGATCAAAAAGGTTTCACTTCAGCTTTGTTGTAATATTTGTACCCTCCTTTGTTGAGACTCATGTTTTCATGAGGCCATTTGGTAAATTCATATTCTACTTTTTTTGGCATCCTTGTGCCTTCACAATTATGTCTAATTATTTGTGGCAGCTGGGGGCATCCCAATAGTTCATCAGAGTGACTCTCATTCACTCTGACAGCATATATGTATCTATCTCCCCTTCTATTAGAGCCTTCTGTTGTCTCACGACTGGATTCCAAAATCTTTTCTAATTTCTCATGGAAAACTGTGATAGAGAAGAACTGTGAACACCTATACATGTCTAGACATTTCCTTACTAGATAGGCAAGATGTCCATAGACATCAATAATTTTTTAATTGCCACTACTATCAGAGTCAACCCACTAAGGGCCATTAATTAACCTTTTCACTGCTGCATTCTTTTTCTTTACACATCCCTGAGCTGAGTTTTTTGCTTCTCATGCAACATTGTGGGCCCTACTTATAAAATAAAAATATATATGTTTCCTCATTTACCTTATTATATAAGTGTATAGCTGGACTGATTCAGATTGTCCTTAAAAATCTCAGGTAAGAAGCACAAGAAGATACACATTTCCACACTCAAGTTATCTCGATCATAATGGTGAAAGGGTTAACCCTTTTGTGAGCCATTTTTATCTGGGAGAGTTGACATCATCCTGCATTTATCTTTATCAAATAAATTTCAAAGAAATGCAAGAAACAGTTTTCATATTTTTATTGGTCACAAATTATTTGCAAATTAGGTAGGAAGTATGCTCCCCTATCAATATTGGTAGGATGCAGGCTTCCCATGACCCATGAAACACCACCTCACTGTCACCAAATGATATACCATGCATCTGTTATTGAGCATCCTACAAGAACCAATCACTTATCAATGTTTTAAAAGAGATTAACCAATTGAGTAATTAAATTGTTACTGGCCTATTTTGCTCTTAACATTAGACAAAATAACATACTATCTGAATGGCATGACATCATAAACTGTGCACAATGTCATATGTTTTGTTCCCATATTTTAACCTGGTACAGGTACTGTTTTGAAAATGAAAAAACATTGCTCAAATATTCATTATGTATTCTAGGTAGTATCCACTCAACAGAGAGACAGAATGGGGAAACTATAGAACTGTTTCATTAGATATGGAACAAGGAACTTTTTGTAGATTTAGCTTGCAGTATCTTATATTTAAGCTTACTTATGTAAGGGACAGGAACATGTGACATTTTCGTGCATTATTTGTGTTACAAGTTTGCCACAGTCCATATCTAATGAAAGTTGTGCTCTTTGAACAGCTGTATTGAAGCTTGAACATTTCCTGAAAATTTTTATTCGTGATTAAGGGTAAACAACCTAGGTCAGGCTATTAGTCTATTGGAATTAGGAGCCTTCATAAGATTACTTTTCTATTGACTCTCCTTTAGATGAATTGTTGCATCTCATTTGTTGGTATGATTTAAGGTGGAAAGGGAGCACACAACAGACAGAACAACAGGCTGCCCCACTCTGGAAGATTTGGGAGTGACACTGACAGAAATAGAGGACAGAGTGTCATGGGAACTGAAGCCTTATCGTGCTTGGAACTACTATGATGCAGAATTGGATGAGTTTTCCCCTCCACAGCCTCCTCCAGTCGTCACGGATGCATGAGGGTTGTTGAACTGATGTCAGACTTGTACTCTCACTCTTCTCTCTTTGCTCCTCTTAGATGATATTAAAGTGAATCCTAATTTATGAGTAATTGTGTTTTGTTTACACTTGTGTGACATTTCACATGACTCACTTAAGAACAACATTTCTAATGATGCTCTCCTTCGAGACTCAGAGAAACTGTGATCATTCACCATCAGCCCAGGAAAGACTGATGCCTAGTCTTTGGTGCAGTGTATCCTGCATCCTGGTTGTACTCTACACATGAATCTTCTTATACCAGCTTCTGTGCTTTTTACCTTGTGCTTCTAAGTGTAAGTTGTCACTAATTGATATACTCTTTATATGACAGCAATAATTGGAATTCACTCATGTGATGAATACCTTAAGAATTTATCACATGATTGATACCTATAGAATATGTGTGTTGAATGAACTAGGATTTTTTCAGAGGATACATATATCAACAGAGCGCAAAAGCCACAAAAAGATGCGTTTGAGTACCCCATTATTGAAGCAACATTCGCTACATATCAAGCGCATGAAATGGTTAGCCATGTGTCGTCGTAGAGTTCAAGATGATGGCACTAAAGCTGCACTGGAAAAATCTGGAATCACAGTTTATGATGCCTTAGAGGTTGCAAAACTCCCCAGGTTTCCACCTCTTGGTGAACAGCCGTGAGTTCTTGACAAGTGGCATGTGCAGCAATTTGGTTTCAAAATGGGTTATGATGTGGACTGTATGTTTGCTCAGGGTTGGAGACACCATATCTCTGGATTGGGAACTCCCTTTGGGTCCAGGTCACCCTGACTGGCAAGAGCGCACAGCCAAAGTTTATAATCAGCAGTCTACACTCTTGGAAGGACTGCCTCAAGCACAGCGCTTGACCAGGAGCATCATCCTGGGTGATTTACCTCAAAGATTACAGCAAGTGATAGGAAAGAAAGAGATTGTTGACCAAGATCTCTTAGTTCAAAGGTGCACATTGAACCCTTGTCATTGTAATAGGATCATATGCAATCAACTCTTGTTAATCCAAACTTCAAGGGACTGGCATTTTACCAAATTATCAAAAACCTGACTGAGAGCCCACTCAATTTTCTTTTTATCTAGCAGAGAAAACTGAATTCCAGTGTATTACAAAATGGCTTTATTTACTCAATTTCTTTCCCATGTGGATGGGAATCACTAACTCAATTCATTCAGTCATTCATATAGAAGAAATCTTGAATTTTTTTGCTTGGATTTATGCAAAAAGTGTCTCCTGAGAAAGCTTCCTTGTGATAGAAGGGAAGTACAAAACTTGTTGAGGCTGTAATGACGAGGATGTCTGAGACTGACAGGAAGGAGGTAATTGCTAAGAATAAGAGAAAGTCCTGATGAAAGCAATTCTCATTGCCTGATTCCAGGTAATTGGGGTCCTCAATGAAGATGGAGTTTTTTTTTCTGCCTTTCTCATTCCCTGGGTGAGAGGAAGTGGAAAGGGGACTGGGAACATTTTCTTTTTCTGTTGTACTCCATCTCTTTGGCTAGCAAGTCCAGAATAATGGGTAGAATGGCACAGGGGGCTATGAAACTTGTGTGTAAATGAGAGCTGTGCAGTATTGGCATTTGGATGAAGTAGTGTAGCAGTGAACAAGAATTGTGCTTTATGAAACAAGCATAAATCTTGGCATAGTGGAGCCACCATGGATATTTGTCCTTGAAGGCTGTTTCTTAAAGGTCTTAAAAGTCATATGTGGTAAAAAAGGAAACAGAATTTCCTTGGATTTTTACCTACAAGACTGTGGGTGAACATTCTCAGAAGTGAACCGTGGGCTTAGCTGCTGCACTAATGGAGAATTTAAATATAGGTTGTATTGACAAATTTCACTGGGATTATTATTTTCATTCTATTTATAATTAACAGGAGCTCTGAATAATTGGGGATCATATAAACTGTTGGTTACATTGAGGGAACAGCAGTTTGAATGTTGGAAGCTGTCATTAGTTGATTGTATGTTTGCATGTCATTTGCCTGCATTATGCCAGTAGTTTAGATTACCTTTTCAGAACACAGAATGCTTCATTTGGTTCTCTGGTTTGGTCTATGACATACTTATTGGGATATGGGATTCATGTGTCATTTTTCTTTGCCATAGCTCTAGGGAGGGCCGATCCATCCTTTTTCCTTCTCCTCCCTTTTAATTTTCAGCTAAAAAGTGAATCATGAGTGGTTGGATGAAAATAATCTTGACCACATGGCTTTGTTTTCATTATTGATCCATGAGTTAGTCATTAGCCATTTCTTTCAGTTCAGGGTAAATCAGGGCCTCACAAGCTTGATGTAACTCCCACCCACCCCTTTCAGCTTCCAGCAATCTAACAGCTACTAACCTGAAGGGGGGAGAAGTGGAGCAGTGAATGTGGGCCTCTTGGGGATATATGGGAGATAATGAGGTAAAAGAAAGAAGAGAAAATACCTGTTTGTGTGAAGGGAGCAAAAAACCTCACTTCACCCTGTTGTTCATAGGAAAGCAGAACTGTTCAACCTATGTGATCCTTGATTGAGACCCCAGGCAAATGCCTGTTTTCCTCCCCTCAAAACATCCCTGATGATACCCAACATAGGATTCTCTCATTCTTTCAGTCAAATGGTGAAGGAAAGTTACTTTATCTATGATGTTTAGGAAAATGGGTTTATTTTGAAAATAACAATGAAAGGTTAAGTGTAACAGATATGGCTATGTGAATGGTGTAGATGTGAGGGAATTAACTTAATATAAAAAGCTATTGCCTGCAATTCTGTTAGATGTGTGAGGCAGTCTGGGATGATGGATGCCACACAGGTGAAGCTACCTCATCTCCCTGACCCTTTAGTTTATGGAATCAACAAGAGACGAGAGTATGGAATTCCTATTGACAGGAAATGGTATGTCTGAAACAGCAACTTCCAGAGAGCAAGTACATCATTTGATTACTAGACTATTTCTTTTCCATTTTCAACAGCATGATACTGACTAGAGGGCTGCTGAAGTTGTGTTCCCATGCCTTGGGAGATTATCCTGGTCTTCTTAAGAGGATTACTCTCCATTCTGCTCCACTGAACTTGCCTTTGGAACAGGAGGGACAATTACTCATATGTGACATATCAGCTGATTCTCTTCTTCTTTCCCCTTGGCCCCTACAACCATTTATTGATGTGGAGGAGGTTGAAGCACTCTCCTCTGCTGCTCAGCTACCAAATTTACAGCCTGTTCATCACACAGTTTCTCTTAGAGAGAGCAACACCTATCGGCCAGAATTTTTCTTCCGTGAGCAAGTTGGATTAGCTCCTCTATTTTATGCACCTATGGCTTTTTCTCAAATATTATTTTTCTTTTCCCCATGCAGCTGTAAATAGGTCAGCCAAGCAACAGTACCCACATGTCATCTTCCTTCATAATGACTATCCATACAATGAGAACTGGACTCCAGAGCTGAGGTTGGCTAGACCTTTGATGCATTGCTTTGCATGGGCTTTGGCATTTGCTCGCCATCATTCAGTAAAGGTATGCATATTCTTTGACCACTTTATGTAATTAATTTTTCATTGGAGTTCCCCATATCATGTGGTTGTGTTAGCACACTGGGCATGTTACATGTAAAAAATATTAGCTATAATCACAGGTATTCCATCCCAAAAGTAATAAAGTTAAAAGTAGAGCTACTCCTTACCCAGAGTAACCATTGAAAAGTCCAAATTACTTTTCACCCAGACAAAAGCACTTTCTGTACATGGGGTGAAGTCAAGTGATTTTAAGGGCAGCTAGGATTAATTCAGTCAGAAAGCTCCAGTCACTTCCATCTGAAATTTTGCCTTCAAGAAAGTAACACCTGAATTTTTCTTAACCCCTGCAAAGTAACTTTTACTTTTGATATTACCATGAAGTTATTAGTTACTATAGTACATTCCTTTAATGTAATTTGCAATCAATTGATTTGTTCTCAGAATTCAAAGTTTTCCTAATATACACATTAACAGGAAAAAGGTGGAGTCTTGGAGGAGCCTCTATCTCTGCAGTGCATTCACCATAACAGCCAAGAATTTACCTTCTCTTGCTTCCAACTCAATACACTGAATATTGATGGAACTGAAGGCATCAAGAACTTCTACTGGACCACCCCAGCAATGAACATCCATGATTTCTGCTCATATCATGATGGCAGGCCTGTTCTAAAGAACTATAACCCCCAAGTAATGCAGTACTTCTTAGCATTCTTCCTTGATGGGAATCCTCCATTGCAAGAGCCCATAAAGAATAAAGTCAATATTGAACACTGATTTAGCAAAAAGTTGGTATTTATTCATGAAAATATCACAGAATAAACAAGCCTCATGCTGAAAGAACAAGTTCAATAAGTCTCATTTCTTCTGACAGGAATTGGTACAAGACCTGGTCCATAGATACCCTAGAAAGGGCCATCTGTCTCCGTAGTGTGGCACTGATTTCTTCCCTGTTTCCACGGTCCACACCTCGTGTTGAAATCCCTTTTTGCCTGGATATTCAAATGAGTTCAAGTTCATCTCTGACATTGCTACCATTACTAGTCAGGGCTTGCCAAAGCACAGGTAGAGAATTGGTCAAGACCAATTATTTTGCTGATGCATCTACTGGGGCCAATTTTCAGGAGGCAGGTTATCCTTCAACTGACTGATTCATCAATTGGTGAATATGAATTAACTAATTTCATTGGTTTTTCATGAGGGAGTGCTCCATTAAACTTAAAACTTTTGCAAATGTTAAACTTAATTTCTTCACTTCAAAGTTTCAATGTTCTTCACAAAAACTTCAGAATCATTAGTAAAAATATCAACCATTAAACACTAGAAAAGTGTAGTATTACACTGCATCCTTTGACTTCTTTATGAATTTTGAAATCAATTTCACCTTTCATTGAGAGTATCAAATGAAGTATCATCTTTTCCATTTTTTTAACTTTCCTTCTGTAAACTTTTGGCCTAAATTTGCATTCCTGTGAAGATCAACTTGCTTGATGACTTCTGTCATTTTAATGCATGAATATTACAGAATATCTACAATGCAAAAGGCCATGTAACAATTGGCAATACCAAACATAAGAGAATTGGTATTTGATTCAGATACAGCAAATTCAAGCTAAAACAAGACAATAATTTGCATAAATTTTGAGCAGCCAATTTAGAAACAGGTTTAGAGCTTTTTATCTTTTCTGGTCATGAAGTTATGCACCTTCACTGCCTCAACTATGAATTTCAAGGCTCCAACCCTTTTGTATCAATACATTATTTTACTTAAAAGTAACTGAAAACTTGCCTGACATTGGAAGCTATGTTGAAGTCAATTTGGACACGGCTATCTGGATCATTCACTAAATGATCAAAGTCTGCAAGAATGTCAGGTTCATATATGTACTTGAGGAAAAGTGGGTAGGAGAACTGACGTTGGCCTTGGACTTTTCTCAAGGCCTTTGTGAAGTACTCTTCATGTTCAGGCCAATCATACTGCAGCAAGACCATCAAATGCCCAACTAACAGATCATCTTCAATTCCAGTCTGAAGAGCTCGCTCCTGGTGGACAATTATGAAGGAGATCAAAACAAACTTGATACCCATATGCAGATATGCTAAACTTCTAATGCACTCACTTTCAAGGTATATATGAGCATGGTGCAGGTGTAGTGTAAGATCACAGGCCTGTTACATGGAACAAAGCGGACATGTCGAACGTGGGAGCTTAATCCATGCTCAAGGTCAGGATCATGACTGTAAGGCTGGGAAGGTATACCTATGAGTACCTTCAAGAGGGCCATCAGTGTCTTATATGCCTCCTATAAACACAAAAACAAGGTTCAATATGATCTTTGTCAGTGACTCAGCAAGGCTACTTCCTATTTATCTTCTTGGATGAATACCAGAACATCTCCAAGAGCACAGTAGCAAGAAGCAAGTTGGAGATCAATGTGAAAATGCTTTTTGGACTTCAAGCTGGCTAAATGTGAAGTGGCCCCTTGAAAATCCCCAATATGGAGGTAGTAATCAGAGATAAAGGACTGGAAGAACGGCCATGAATCTCCATGAATGTCTCTCCATATCCGATGGTATTCTGGAAACAGTATCAGCAAATAGTACCATGCATTATCTCCTGCAGCAAAAGAGTGTATTATTTTTGGGCCCTTTTGAAATTGACATTATTGTATAGATTTCTATTTGCCAAGTAAAAAAATATACACCGCTTACAGTCTATCTCATTCCATCATCAAATTACAGGCCCTAATGATTCAAGATGGTAATCATCAAATAATGGATAATGATGCCAAAACCCTCACAATATACATATCATTATAAGGGTCTAGTCAAGTACAGCGAGATGCCTACCAAGGAGGTGGCCTCTACACAGTGGTAGGGATGCAACAGGCATAGAACTCATATTCCATATCTGGCAAATTCCTTTGCATGACAATGCCAAAAAACAATATTGTGAACTCAACTGGAATGAGGATACTAGTACCAGAGGTAGGCACTAAGGCCTATCTGACATGAGAGAGGGCTACTGGGGCAGTGCCAGAAGTATACATTTGAGATTAAATCACTGTATGAACAGTATAATGACTTCTGCAACTCTTTCTATCTATCCAGATAGCAATATCACATTATTTTAATTATGTTTTCAAATAAGAAATGTTTGTCTTGTTTGTATGCTCCCTTTGGGTTTATCTCCACATGATAGGGAGTGGGGGCAACACTAAAACTTTTTTGGCTAAAGTCCATAACACATTTTTAAAAAATTCAGTCTCATTTGTGATGGATTTCCCTAACAACTTGATAAATGTTGATTTTCATAAGAAGTTCCTATAGACTTTTGCCTTTCAGCAGCAAAAGACTTTTCAAATGCTATACTAATCATCAAAATTAATGGGAGGACCCAGAGGTCCATTGAAAATTAATACCCTTCTTTGAAAGCCTGTACCTTGTACCGCTTTCCCAAGGATAGTAAAGCTCACCTCTCTCCAAATGTGGCTCATTCATCAGAGTTTGATAGCATTGCAGAGCAATTGTGAAACTCTGCTTGAGTGCTGAGACTTGAGCTTTGTCTGAATGCCTGACTGAGATGAATGGAGAACTCATGTCCAATTTTTTCCCTTTCTTCTTCTCAGATCCAGTCCCCTTGGGAAAGGCTTCCACCAGCACCAGGCGTCCATCTGAGATACATAAAAGTGAATGCATAGTGCTTCATGATCAAATGGTGCTAAAGATTCATGTAACAAATAAAATAGGAAAAAAAATCAATAATCCATATACCTGGAGATGACTCAATGACTTGGTTGTACTCTAGAAGACAGATGATAAGTAGCATTAATAAACAGTAGGCTAGCTCAATGGAGCCTCCTTTGCCAGACTGCTTCTCCCTTTGAGTTTTCAGTAGAACCCAAAGATCCTCCTTGTTCCTGCCAGATATTTTCCTTAGATCTTTCTTGCAGACCTTTCCTAGATTTCCATCATTCATGCTCAATTTAATTGAGAAAGAGAACAATTGATATTCACCTGGTGGAAAAAGAAGAAGGAAGAGTCCATCCATAATGAGAACCCATTGCCTCAAAGATGTTGACAAGTTCTTTCAAAGGTTCTCCAATGCTACAATCTTTGCCTGCTCCCTATAATGACAATTACAATGTTCTTGTGTACTAAAGATGACTCCAACATGTTTCAAATGATTCTAACTTAGTCAAGACATGAAAACATTTAGAATAATAGTCTCTCTCTTTTGCACCAGCATTAAGAACATAAGAAAATGTTTCAGGACTCAATCAAGAAAACCACAGGGTTATTCAAAGAAGGAATGTAAGTTTCAAGTAACTTACAAGGATGAGAGGCTGAGGAGAACTCATGTAGACAACGTAAAATTCAATGGCATGCCTCAAAAGCTTCATAGATTCACTCTTGGGCAGTGCAAAGTGAGGTGATTTTGCCACAAGGGGTAAAACATCACAAACTGCAAAGGATTCAATATTTCACATAACTGCATGTATCAACAAGATCCAAAGTCAGGAAGAGACCTGGCTGGTCCAGGTTCAGTCAGGAAGTTCTCATGAAAATATAAATTTAAAAGTTACCTGTGATTTTTCTGTATATATTGAGGACTGTTCCAGCATATTGCTTCTTCTCTGAGGTAGTCAGTTCATCTATCAGTGCACACTACAACAATGAATTATATTACTGACTTTACAGAGGGCATCAATTAGTAATTGAGACAAAGGTCTTCATCTTACTGCATGCCTTCCAATGGCATTTGGAAACTTCTGGATGAGCACCAACTTCATCTGACAGTGCTGCATTGGTTCTTGAGTCTTGCTTGCTGACACAGTAATAATCTGCTCTTGAATTTCTTCAGGTAGACTCTGAAAAATTTCACGGAGGAAAGACGCTTGCCCCTCTTCAATGTTCCCTTCATGTGGCTCCACCTTTCCAGAATTCTCTTCCTCCCTCTCTTGCAATGCATCTATCATCCCATTCAGTTCAGTCCATAGAGCTGATTCACTGTTGAAATCATTGAAGCTGCATGGAAATTAAGGGCTTTTGTCACAAATACAGATTTTGACCATGCCAGGGCAAACAAAATGCAGTGACACTCTTGTGAATATCAACAGGAAGATTGTGCCCAATAGCTGACACAATAAGACAATTTGCAATGGAACTAAACTACCTGAAATAACTGAAACTGCCGAATAAAACTCATTCATGTTTTATGACCTTGAAAAAGGACAGTCAGGAGTGGAATGTTGTCCATCTCCATTAAGACTGCAGAAGGCACTTTAACAGATACCATATCTCTTGATCTCAACTTGATTACTTCCTGAGGTATCAAGATATGCTATAGCCTATTTAGACAGTAACACATACTTGGCTGCTTTGAAAATCCTAGATTGATTCCTATGAAGACAACGTATGGAAAGCTTAGCCAGATCATTACAGATGAGCCTTTACCATCAATTGTTCTTATGCATGAAGGTGTTCTTTAGGCTTGGAAATGGAATGCAGCCATGGCAATGCACAAATGTCTCTTTGCAATCACAGGAAGCTATCCCAAGATAAAAATGTATGCTCACCAATCCTTAGTTACAATCTGCATGTACTGAGGTGTATTCACATTTTGAGAAGCAATTTGTCAACTTTTTCATGGTGGACAACAAAAGCAAGGACTTGCAATATATATCCTCTCCAAGTCATGGGAACAGGGCTGGATTAAGGGGGAGGGGGGGCAAAGGGGGCTGTAGCCCCAGGCCCCACTCTTCTCGGAGGGTTCCCTAAATTAAATTTAAAATGTTAAGTATTTGTGTAAAGTAGCAGATGTTAAAAGTAAAAATTTGCACCACCATGTAAAATGTTGGATGGGGGGGGGGTAGCTCCAAGAATCCACTTGCCCTAGGTCTCACAACTACTTCATCCAGCCCTGCATGGGAAGTATACTAATGGAGACAACTAAGCATGATTTCATTTAACCCTTACAGCTGAGAGTGATGGCAAGAATATCAGCTTATGACAACTGCACATCTGCCACTAACTATCTCCATTTTATCTGTTCCTTCTCATATGCTACAAACCACAGGGTAAAAACAACTCACAGCTTTTCTAGATATGCTGCTGCATCTTTGGCATTTCGCTGCTGCTTCTCAAAGTGGTAGGCTTCAAGCTACACATGGAGAAAGGGATTCAAAGTAATTCCAGTGAATAAAAGTGATAGCCTTCTCATGCCAAAGCTACAATAGCCACAGGCTTGTTCTGTTAAATTAAAAACTTTTCAAGTGACACTGACACCCATGCATTGGAAAACCATAAGCCTGCCCTACATGAGTGTTTGAGCAATCAGAAAAGTATCAGGTAAACAATAAAAAAGATATCCAGGGCAAACCCCTCATGCTTGGTTTTTTGGGGGGGCCCTTCATCATATAATACCCAACCACTGTTCCTAACTCTCAAAAATCAGTTGAAATTAATGAAAAAAAAAGGAGGGTGCATGCAGGGATCAAATCTGCAAGTTCAGTAATAATGGCTAAGTGAGCCAGGGGGCTGCCAGCTTTTGCTCTTGGGGAAGCGTAAGCAGAGATATGAAGAATAGTAGTCACGCTACCCTAGTTATAACTGGATCTGAACTGAATATAGCCATAACCAAAAAGAAGTATGTTAGTATGAAATGTTTGAATGCAATAGCAAGTCAGAGTTACAGAAGGTAACTTTGCCTATAAAGTCTATAAGTTACAGCCGTGGTGTAGCCTACAGGAATCCGAACCTGTACGTTGAAGCTCTCAGGATACAGGAGAACCGCTGTCTTCAGCATCGATTTCCAAGCGTGGAAGTCTGTGTTCTTATACTTCCGAGCCAGCAGTATCACGTACTCCTCATCTGATTGTGCCATCACAGATGATCTTTAACAATACCGTCTAGACCTACAATAGGCTTGGTTGTCACATCCGCAGCGATTGTTCACTTAGAGAACTATAGGCATAATCTTTTTCGGTCGTACCGGCCGCTTTGGTTCTCCTATCACCTCGGATCTGGTGATTGCAGGAATAAATCACGGTTGCAAACGTCCTCGTTCTCCCTTAAGCCCTTCCATTTACGGGTATCCCAAAAGATTCAAAACTGAAGGCCCATAGTATGAAAATTAGTGCTAAAGTGAAAACTGTTTCGAATGCAATATAATTGAAAACCTACTCTATTACTGCCTCTTGAAAAAACGTTCTCTTCCGGGATCTGTGGCATCCAGGACAGACGGAATTACTCTGTCGTGGAATGGCATGGCAACTGCGCCCCGATATGACTTTGCTGTGCCAGAGTGCTCGATTTTGCTCATAACTCTCAGTATGGCTAAGGTATCATATGAATCTATGTGTACCTATAGTAAGAATATGGATTAGAATAACATGAATAGAAGGTATTCAAGAAATATCCGGAAATGTGAGTAATGAAATGAAAATATAGGTAGGCCCTGAACATACACTTATGTGTTTCAACCTGGGTCCATGGAGAACCGTCAGGTTCTTTGGAAAACCCAGAAAGAAGCCCTTACATATTTCGATACGTATGTCTGTCCTCTTGTATTTCCATTCATTTTGATATTTTTTCTTCTCATCCCTCCCATACCTTTTACACATTGCTTTATTGTTATATAACATTATGTTGCTCACATGAGCAAAATGGTTCATTACCTCTACTACTTTTTTACATTTGTCCTGTTACTGGCACTTAAAGTTCAGATAAGAACATGGATCCATAACATTTCTGTCTGTCTTTCTTATGCCTTGTATCAGTGCAAATAGATTGGATATGTATGTAATGTAGTTAATATTTCCAAGGCAGCTTAGCCACTATTAATTTCAAATCCCTAGTTTTTGCCCTGCATTTGAGAGGGAGAGCTGCTAATCAAATGCCTTGTACCTTAGATATCAATACTGAACATACCAGGTTTAGTCCTTGCTTCCTAGCATTTTAATTTTTTTTTTCCTGTGTTGCTTCTCAGAGATTTGAGGGAAAATATGTTCCAAATCTAAGCTGTAACATGTTACATTTTAATTGCCAGGCTCTAAATAGTATTTGTGTAAAACCACACTGTTTTTGAAGCATGAATTTAAAAAATGACAAAACTTATACATTGCTTCAATGTTTCTGCATCACTAGGTGCTTGCATTACTGGTGCTTGCTTCAACACTAGGGACATATAGTGAGTACTAGTTCAAATTACCTTGAAGAGCTATCTGTAGCTGCTTGATCATTGACCTCACACTTGATATGGACCAGCTCATCATCCAAACAGAGTTATGTCCTAACATATGGGTCATAGCCAACAGTTATTGTACAATGGAAGGAACATCAGTTCTTCTGGCATTGTTGGGTTCATAGAAGGCAATGTTTAGCATGATAAGGGCGTGTGATATTATTATAAAATGAATGAAGTCCATCTGTTACTATGTGAGTAGGGGACACAGTGCTACCTAGCCAAAATACATATATTCGGTCATAGCCGCAGAAAGTGTGTTTATCAAGGAGAGGAGGATTTTGAAGAAGTCAAGTGGATCTATTGGAGAAATATACATAATAAGAATATTGAAGCAGCAATCAGCATTATGAAATGGACTACATTCATAATTGCCAAGTTTATGTTGGAAGAAGGTAATCTCATAGGGTTGATTTGAGTATTCCTGTTGCATTTACATCAGGAAAGTCATGAGGAGTTCCCTCTTGCATGATCTACATGAAGTAGAATGTAGAACTAAGGAAACCTTTTAACATGAAGAAAAGTTAGCCATCAATTGATAATTGTCATTTTTCAGTTAATGATTATCATTATGAACATGAGTAACAATTCTTATATGCTTTAAATATTATCACTAGGTGAAAGAGATTGGCAGTGTGACCAGCAAAAAATTACCTTGTTTTGGTTCAGCATCCTTCTAAAGTCCTCCTCATTCAATCATTAAAAATGAATAATTTGCTGAGTGACATCTTTTCTTGGCATCATCACAGTATCTCAAGGTTTACAATGGCTCCAAATAGTGAAGCTCCAGGAAAGACATGAGATGTTCTGATTGGATGAAACTCAATTTCACTTCTGTAATTGATATGCCAACTACAAAATCAAAAGTTCCTCATAACTCCAAAGACTCGTGTACTTTTGAAAGGGACTGCCAATAATCTCTTAGGTATGCTACCATAAGAGGGAAAGCTAAAAATAAAGAGCCAAATTCATGGAGAAATAACATGCCTACAAAAGAAACAAGGTTGTATTAAGGTACGAGACAGCATTTATGGTGCATTCTTTTTCATCATCATTATTTATGGTATAATAAAAGCTAAGAGAATAATAGGTTTAGTGTTGTGAGTGAGAAATATTTTCAAAGAAAATTTGAAAGTAATTCTGAGGGTTGAAAGAAAAATAAATAATAAAAAGAGCATGCTTGATTTGTAATTGATTGAAACAATTTAACAAGTTTCTTTGCACTCTAGCTTGAAATAAGAGCACAATTGCATAAAATCCTGTCACTTTGTCATTTCTGTTACTCACAAATTGTCTGGAAAGTAATTTTTTACTTTCTCATAGTCTTAGTAACTTGACCATTGATAAAGTTTTGCCAGCTTGAAATAAGACATTTTCATTTAGATTGGTTGTACTTATGCTTGCTTAGTTCTTAGGGGTGGAAGGCAGAAGGGGAAATAATGTGATGAGTGGATGCAGTGAATTAAGAGATGGAATCATGATGCATGTGTATTTAGCCTTGAGCACTTTGAGTAACTATTTTATTTTTTTCTGATGTTTTGGTTACAGCAAGGGTATATATAATTGGTTGATTGTGAATTTTAATAGGCTATTTATGATAATAAATATTATGTATAGTGGGTATTGAAAGTGATTCAGGTTGACTTGCTGCAATTAATATTGTGACTTTGAATTTAGAAATAGCCTGGTTCTGTATTTGAGAGGCAGTTTATCTCATACAGCATCATCTGTTTATTTTTGGTCATGGCTCTACCCCTTCATGTCTCCATTGGGTCTTGCTACTACTTTTCCTATCACCCAGTTTCAAAGGCCTTTGGGTGCAGATCTCCTTTGGTGTCCCCAAAAATTGGTTTCTGAATATAGCATTTCCCATATTTAGATTTTAAAAAATCAAAAACTCTAATTTTATCAAAACCAGCTGACCTAAATTCGCTCATATGAGTTAAGGTCATCAATCACCGTTGGGATGGTTTCAGCAATTGTTTGCATTTTATTTGCTTGGGCATTTTTTTAACCTCTAGAGCTTTTTCTTTGAGTCATATATGATCAGATTCCAAAAGATTCCCTTATCCTCATATTTATACATCTCTTGAAATTCTCAAGACCAAGATACATGACATCTGTAGGCTCACTTCCACCCCTTGTAGTGTTTGAAATCATCATTTTGAACCAAAAATATCTTCATCCTGCAAAATATCTGTCTACTGCAGTCCTGCAAATGTGGATGTCATTGCCAAATTACTTTCAATTAGCACATTGGTGACGGGCCCCGAGAAATCTTGTAGTACGCATGACGTCGACGTCATGCGTAAAACCGAGATTTCTCGGGGCCCGTCACCAATGTGTTAAAACTGGATGGTGATGTTTTCCCATGGCTGACACGTGCTGACCATGTATTCAAGATTGTCTGATCCTGTGATGTCAGTAGAATCTTTAGAGGAGAGAAACTGGTAACCTGCTTCTTTCAGTTCTAATCAAAGAAAATAATTGGCATTGGTAGATTGGCCATGTGCATATTGCTGGCATCTCTATCATGGTATATGATAAAGTATTTTCTGCACATTTACACAATGTTGAATGAGCCCTTTGATGATAATTAAGGCTGTCACATGAAGTCATGGTGTATTGACTATAACTATTGATTATGCATCAATACATTGTGTGGAACTGGGGATGGGAGTGGTGCCAACAGATTCCATTACATCCCCACTTGTCACAATGGGGAGAACTTACCTCCTGTCACTTTTCACTGAGATGGAATTACAATATTAGAACACTGAAATTACAAAAAATAAAAGTAAGTTCTTGATTCTGAAATTACTGGACAGAAACCATCTCAGAGAGACAATAAATATAATTTTAACACTATGTAGCTCAGATGAAATGAATGGCAACCAAAGAGACTGCATTAACAACCATTTTCCATCTAATACAAATAGATTCCAGGAGTTTCATGAGATGAAGCCAATACTATGGGCAGGATAGTTAATGACAAATGATTTGTGGCATGCAATTCAGTTTGTAATGGGTCTCCATATCTGCTTTGCAGACCAGTCAGAATGTTATTATGCATAAGTAAACAGTAGCCTGAATTTTGATTCCAGGAAAACGACATTTATGAATCTGAGGAAAGCATCATGGCTAAGGACTTTTGTCACCTCCTTGCCTGCCCTCTCTTAGTATAAGCATATAAAAATAGCTGATTCAACCAGTCAACCTAATGGGGCCTTTTGGTGCTTGTGGCACTTAGGTTGATATATGGTGGCCTATGCCAATTGCCTGCCTCTAGGTTTAGATGCATTATCTGTCTGGCTAATTTCCAACTAAGCAATATCTCATTTCAAAATGGAACACAGAAATACAGAAATAAGATTTGTTGAATGGTTCCAGTCACAAGTGAAGAAATGTGACTGGAAATTTGTGCATTAGTTTTTGTTAGAATTTTCTATGCCTGTTTTGGCTTATATTCCAGATTCAAGAGTGTTTGGCCTCATTGTAGGCATACATGACAAAATAGGTTCAAGAATTTTTTGGTCCATTAACTGTAGGCCTAACATGACCATGAATAATGACACTTTTGAGGAAAATGTGAGTGTTGGTGAAGCGAATGCTGATTCACGGAAGAGACCTCTTGAGTCAGAAGTCAGCAGTGATGACATGGACAATGCTTCTTCAAAGCGATCAAATTTTGGTGCAGGTAATGATGAACTTTTTGTTACATTTAATGTCATTTCATACCAAATACCATGCTATTTTTTAAATTTTAGTTTAACCAAAATAATATTTTGCTTGAAATTCATTTTAGGCCTAGTTTATATCCCTGAATGACTTCTTAGTTTCAAATTCAACTTCTTCCTCCAGTCCAGTGGTTTCTGAAATACTCCACAAGGTTGAAAGTGTTGGTGCTTGTGTAGTCCTCAGGGTTCATAGTGTACCTACTCAAGTTTTATGTTCTTTGAAAGCCTCCTTCAATTGAAACCTCTTGGAGTAGAAACCAAAAGCTGCATTTTTCAATTTGCATTTGCTTTTCAATTTACACTGTTTCTGGATTGAATTCATACCCCCCCTCCCCTTGCTTCCATCGATTGCAAGTAGTGACATCTTACACATGTATTACCTGATAAGGCAGAATGTCTGGAAATTTGTGTTTTTTCCATTCTCCAATATAGGGGGTGGTATGAATTCAATCCAGAAACAGTGTAACCCATTTCTGCAGGATATACCAGGAGCTCCCCATCCTGGAATTGAAAAAAAAAAAAACTCTTTGCTCTGCCAGAGCTAAACTTTTATATCTGGGATTTCTAAGGAAAAGAACTCCCAAGTGATTTTTTCAATACCCTAAGTGGTCAAGGCACCAATAGTTGCCTATCTGACTTAAAAGGTCCAGCCTACATGGAGTTGTCTTAAAGTTCTTATGTTGTCTTGTGAAGTTGTGCCATCTTCAACTGAAGGTCTTGATCTCTTAGGAGATGGAATCTATCACATGAAGATACTGATCCCAAGCTTGGTGGCTGGTTCCATTATTGGCAAGGGTGGTGAAACAATAGGACAACTTCAGAAAGACACCAACACAAAAATAAAAATGTCCAAGGCAAATGACTTCTACCCAGGTATGTTACCTTTTTCTTGTTTAACATAGGATTCTGGATGCAGAAAATAGTTAAATTTGATAGGAATCATAATTTATTCTAGCCATTTAAATCTCTAGGTAAATGAAAAGACAGTTTCCATATTGACAAAAAATTCTGCCTTTATCACTGTCTCTTCATCAGGTAGGGTGCTTCCTTTCTTTTTAATCATTGCCACTATTAATTTAAGCTTATCTCAGTTTAAGCAGTCAAGCATCAGAATTTTAGCCTTCTGCAGCTCATCACCAAAGCTAATTATTAAAGCAATAGTTATTTTCCTATTGAAATTATCTATAGTCTTGGAATCCTGTTGAAATAAAAATGGGTCACCTGGGGGAAAAGTGTTCCATGGGGTAGCTGTGACATCTCCTTACCTCATTGAGCAGTAGTGGAACTAATAAGTTGTGCACAGTGTTGGAAGTGCTCATTATGTCCTGTACCATAAAGGAAGTCCAGAGCATCTTTAGAGTCTAATTTAGGCCATTCCTTTCTTTTCTTTTCTTGAATTAATTCTTCAAATTAAAGTTCCATTACTTCAGATCCTTCCTTTTTTAATGTGGATGAGGATGAGGTGGGACAAAAGTAACATTGGAGTTATTTGAACACGGCTTTCTCAGTCAGCAAACACATGAGATATAGTTTTGTCTTTGTGGGGAATAACATGCCACTTCTCATACTTTTATATGACATGATTTGAGCATCTCCATCTTGGCTCAAAATGTGATTGCCACAATCAACTGTACACAGGTAAAATATAGTTTGGATTCCAAATTTTTACTCAACTGCTGAAATTCAGTTTTTCATTCAAACTAAAGATGTTAAGTTTTGGACAAAGTTCATATTGGATGGTTGATTTTGTCTCAAAATTTTGTTTAGCAAAATAAAGCACAGGTCCTATCACACATCTGTTGAGTGCAGTTTAATATTGTCCCATGGAATGTTGGATCATGGGGTTTAAGTAACCTCACAGATGAAATATTTTCAACGCTTCTTATAATTTTTTATGAATCTTGATGTGAGTCAAATTTATTGAAAAATCATTTATACACAACTTAGTGGCATGTTTGGGACAAGTCCATGAAGAAAAACATCTGTGAGAAAATGGCAACAGTGGAAGCTCAAAGAAGAAAGGACCAAAGAAGATGTCACAAAAGGGACCTCTGAATCCTGGAGATGACCATGAGGATTTTTGCACTAGACCCTAAGCTACTTGCAGAAGACTCAGATACTGGTAGTGATTTCAATGATGTTGGGGATATGATAAATGAACCCATAGGTGCAACCAGAAAATTTTCAAGGGGAATAAGGAAGGTGGTCTATCAGTAGAAGGTATGAGTTTCTTTTGATATTCTTGGACTTTCATCAAGCCAAGTCAAGAGTAATGATCTTCATCAAGACTTAATATTGGGGCTCTTGCACACTAACTATGAAGGGCTGCATTGTGACCACTGCGACTGTTGCTGTTCATTGCAAGTGGTTGCATCGGAGATGCATGAGACCTTTTCATCTGACCACAGTATGTGTCACAATAGAATCAGAGGAGTTGGTTCCTGTTGCATTGTCTGCACTGGCTTGTGCTGCATATCTACTGACTACTATTAATGGGGTCCATAGATAATATTTTGGTGGAATGACTGGTGGTTGATGCTGCCAATCATCACCATTAACCCTTTCAGATTCTTTTTTTTTGTTGCTTAAAATCACAATTTCTCTGTTAACTCATTCAGGCATCAGGCTGGCTGACAGACTGATTGGTGACTGAATGGGTTAAATCTCCAAGAGCAAGATACCTAAATATGTTAAATCTTCAAGAGATGTCTTGATGTCATTTATGTTCCTGATGATATTTTCCATTGTTTCTATCCATTGATCTTTTTATTTTTTAAGTTGAGAAGCATCTGTTAGTCAATAAAGCTAAAGCCTGAGCTATACCCTCTTCTGAGAGTTTCTTGATTTATAAGTATTTGAGATGTACAGAATATTTGAATTCAGTATGCATCTACCCACCTCAGGGTCACTGCAACCACTTGCTCTGGGAAAATGCATGGCCTGAAGTTTGTGTCCTGCCCTCTCCTCCAGAAGACCAAGAAGGGTCTTCAACAGCTCAGAAGTTCTCATGGACATAAGAGGAAAACACTCCTTTTCTTTGGAGATAATATTTTTTGACTGGATTCACATTTTCCATTCTAATGATGGTATCCGTGTACATGCCTACTACTGTCAAGAGACCCTGGGGTCACAAAATAGCAAAATTGTTGCAGCGTGAGCTCTCAAGTTGTACATAGCCATGTTGGATTTCACTTGGGAGCTCTGTGACCAGTGCAGGAGCTTTGCATACAGTTGCAGCCAAGAAATAACTGAACTTCAGCCAGAGTGTGGCTTTGCCACAGCATTTTGCAGTCAGTATGCATCAGCCTTAAGAGTGCAGTTTTATTGACTTCTTTGGAATTCTTTGCAGTCTCAGTCTTTAGTCTGTGTAAGCTAAAATCCTTTTTTTTTATGAGGAAACATAAGGAGATGAAGGTGCATGGATTGGATGAGATAGAGCTTCCTCTTCATCTTCCCACCAACCATTCCCAAGGGCACAAAAATCAGCAGAGTGGTTTAGATTGGTTCTGCTTCATGAGTTCTTGTCTCCTTTTTTTTGCTCCAAATATGCTCAAATTTCCTATCATTCATCAAATTACTGTGAGATTACAGTTGAGCTTGAGCCTCTTGCCAAGCAAAAGTAAATCAAACAAGGTTTTTAAAAGAGGGAAAAAGGAGTTCACATCAAGTTTGTTTTTTATTTAAATTTTGCTGTCATTGTTCAGTGTTTGGAATGAGTAGGATCCAATTTTTGCTGCATTATTTTGATGTGTAATTATGTTTTTCAGGTTACATTTATCCCACCTCACCTCATGTATGTTTCTTACAGCATTCAAAAGAGCAGAATCTTCTCTATTCAAAATGGGTTCATGAATGAATGAAACCCTTTTGAAATTCTTGTGTGATACACTTGCACAGCAAATTATCTTGGAACTTGCAGATGTGTCAGTGTTCATCATCCTGTGACAGTAGTGATCAGGAATTAAAAAGGAAAGGCAGACAGAGATGGAGGTGGGAAAATGGGTTGCTGATGTTATTGACAACATGGGACAGATGCAGTAGACAAGGGGGAGGGATGAAGTTCAGTAATCCACATAGTGCATCCTTTGCACCCATGGTGCAACAGGGAACTAGGACCCAGAGGAGCTTTTAAGCTTTGGTAATGCTATGTCTTTCAGGTGTACTTTTAAGATTGTTATTTCAGGTGTCCATTTTTATTACTTCAAACACCAATACAGATTATTTCAAGGTCCATGAAGCTCAACTGCCAAACTTTGATTTAGTATAGCATCTTAAACAAGTCTAGAGTGCCAGATAGAAGTTTTAGTGGGGTAATTTTTTTTTTTTTTTTATCCTGGAAATGGCTCCAAAATAATTGATTCACCTACACAAAGTGAAAAAGAAATGCAAAAATGCAAGCAAAGTAACTTTATAGAAGACCCTTAAAAGTATTACATCTGGGAAGCTGGGTTCATAGTTTCAGTTGAGGAGAATTTTAGTGAATTAAATATGACCTTTATGGAAAATGAATGATACATTGCTGGTTGGAAGTATTGGGTTCTTTGATCTTGAAGCTCCACTGTTATACCCCCAGACCTTGATGGTTTTCTTTTAGCATTGACATACTTTGCCAATAGGAATTGCTGTGTGTGCAATTGATTTTATATTCGTGATTTGCATCAGTCATTATTCAAAGGAGAAATGACAGTATTATTTATGGCTAGAAGAGGACTGTCTTTTTTGTACCTCACGTTGACATAATGGTTACATGGTCATGAGCAACAAATTAGGATTTCAGGGCTGCCTGCCAGCTCTATTTGGATTTTTTTAGTGCATAGGAAAAAATAACTCTAGTCAAGACAGCTATTACCATATTTATTCATGTATAAGGTGCTTATTTTTTGCAAATTTTATTGTGTTTGTTGAGGCGGTGTGTATTATACTTGTGGGAAAAATTTATATTTTTTAAGAAAAAATGTTTCCAGCATACCTTTAACTCACTGGGCACTTATTGAGGCAGAAACTGTCTGCAGTCAGTCAGAACAGGAGAAACATAATATAATAATAAGGAAACAGTGAACAGGGAGTGGCTACGTTGATTTGTGGACTTCACTCAGAATTGGAATCTGAGGTGTCTGGCAGCTTGAAAATTGATTCACAGAGCTCTAATCCTTCTCTAATCCATTCCTGAGACAAGCATTTCTCATAGAATTTTTTGAGCCACTGAGGTTTTCCAACAAAGTGAAAATCCAACTCACTTCATGAATCCCCCTCATCCTCATGATGCATTGAATTTTCTATGGGAGATCCCATTTGCTCTTGCAAATTGTATGAGTTTGCATCTCAATCACTCTAGATTTACACATAGACCATCCTTTCAAGACCAAAAACTGGCAAACAATGCCAGAACAGAAAGCTAAATGTTTACATGGTATGCTTCATTGAGGATTTTAATACAGACATACAGACTCACTCTTTCACTTAGTCTGCCACTTCCTTCTTGATTACCGGAAATCATCCCTTTTTCCCCACGAAAGGCCATGAGATTCTTTAGAGCTGGGCTCAATTTCACCTTCACCTCCACCCACTTCCATATGCTGCTCTCCTTGATGTCATACTTATGACCTATTGCACAGATGCCCAACTCCTTCACTTCCTGAATCGCATTGATTTCTCTGCAGCTGTGTAATTTTGTTGTACATTTCCATCCATTTTCACAGATAATAAAACAAATGTTATGGATACTGTGCCCCCCTCAATAAAGGTTTGGCCAGTGAATAAGAAATGAGGTTTGACTGACCTCATGACCAGCTTTTCCCCTTATTCATCTCCCTTGTCTAACACTTTTCACTACAAAATAGGGGGGTGTGCCTTATACATGGGGAATCTTTTTTTACACAAATTGGGACCTCAAAAGTGGGGGTGTGTCTTATATGCTGTGGCACACTATACTTGAGTAAATACAGTATTATGGTCTTTTTCATCTTCTATTTCATCCACGTGTTTCTTTATTTTCATACTGTGAGCTATTACTGCAAGTGTTTTGTGCAGACCTGAATATACATAGTTGCCCATGGTCTCTGCATACCTGTATCTGCTTTATTGCATGTAAATTAGTATTACATAACATTTGCTTGCAGTTTGAATACCTGACATCAAAAGCACTTTCTTGCCTATCACTTCCCTATTTTTTATTGCTTGATTTCATTCCTTAGCTTTCCCTTATGATATTAACCTTTGAAGTACATTAAAAATGTATTGATCATTATTGTGCTGCTACTTCATATATACATTGGCAGTACTGTAAAGATGAGCACTATGTCAGCAAAGTTTCTTTTACTCCTGTGTGAAATTTTAACTTAGTGTCAAATGTCTATTTTTTAATGAACTTTTCAATTTTAGTTCATTGAATCATCTGGTCATAACTTCATTGCCTGTATGAATTTCAGGTATTTAAAGCTGAAGTTCTACAAAGCTGTACATAGGTATAGAAGAAATGTACTTATCATCACAGTGCTGTTCCTGGGAAGATGGAGGAGCTGCACTGTCATGATTGTTACTTTTTGAGCACTCCTTTTGCTAAATTCTTACTACAGAGACTTTTGGACAACCCTCTATATGTACAGGTTGAGCCATAATATCTCATTCAAACTTCTACATAGGCTAAAAGAGCTCAAGAGAGTTCAGCTCAATGTGGAGTCCTTAAAGTGATCCCTTGTGAAAGCTTGGAGCAATCTCCCAATGGAAGAGGTGTGTGCTGCAATCTGTTGCTGGCGAGGAAGGTTGTCAGCCTGTGTGAAGGCCAAAGGGGGTTGCTTTGTAGTTTAATAATTCCTATGTGAAGATTATGTTGCACTGATGATATTTTCAAAATCTGACACCTCTGTGTCTCGGAATCGATATTCATGAACCAAAAGTCTTTGTATGAGATATTATGGCTCACCCTGTACAATGTGCAAAGTTATTCTGATTTATATTTTGTTGAACAGCTTTGATATGTCCCTAACCAGGTACATCAGAGAGAGTCTGCATTATCTCTGGTAGCCCAGACAGCATTATGGAAGCCCTCATCTTCATAATTGGGAAGATAAAAGAAAAGCCAGATCCCAATGCAAAGCCAGCTATTGACTTTGACAACAAATTGGCTGTGGATCGTGATAAACAGGTTTGTTTCCTTGGATTTGAGTTATGAAATCTTGATTCATTGCATTTACTCAAAGCTGTCCTAATTGCACTATTTCTTATGCAGATGAAGATCCTTGTCCCAAATAGCACTGCTGGCATGATAATTGGAAAAGGAGGAAGCTACATCAAGCAAATTAAAGAGGAAACTGGTGCATATGTACAAATCTCTCAGAAGGCAAAGGACACAACTCTGCTTGAGCGATGCATCACTGTGATTGGTCTGTCTAAGCAACATCAAATGAGAACTAAGGTGTTATTTTGAATTCATGAATTTGTGTCATTTTAATTCATATTGATATCCCATGTCTAGGTGAAGGTGAGACTAGTGAGAAAGCCTGCGCAATGATATTGACCAAAATTGTTGAAGATCCCCAAAGTGGGTCATGTCTGAATGTCAGCTATGCTGATGTCTCTGGCCCAGTTGCTAATTTCAATCCCACTGGTTCTCCGTTTGCAGTTTCAACTGCTACCTCTTCCAGTGAGTGACATGGATGCCTGTATCTCTTGAGCTAATTCATTGACATAAATATCTGAGATGTTGATGTTTGTGTCTAGGTCCTGGAAATGGGTCATATGGTTCAAATATTGTGAATGCCTTGGCAGGAGGCTTAAATTTCTCACTAAACTTGGGACCTGTTGGAACTGCACCCCTCAACAACAGCACCATGATGAGCCAGATCATGGACCATGTTCGGAGCACTCTTCGAGGTAGTGGCTACACTGAGCAGGCAACACATGACATAGTGTCCTCTTTGAATACGTTGGCCAATTATGGTATCTTGGGAGTGGGGATGGGCATGGGCATTGCTCCTATTTCTACCAGTACTTCCAGTTCTACGATTCAGCCACCAGCGAGTGAGTCTGCAATCGCACCCCATTCAGCAGTTGCAAACCCTGTAAGTGGTGCAGTTGCTCCCATTTCAATGGTGAGCACTGATGCTGCTTCAGATGTACCACCCTTGACCACTTCATATGCCATGCGCTATACAACAGCGTTTGATCCCTTTAGCACTCAAAGTAGTCCAGCTTCTGCCATAACTGGATCACCCATTCTCCACACTAACAGTAATTCCTATGGTTTGGGGACAACAGGGACACCTGTGACCAATTCTCCCATTATGAATCCAAATCAGGTGTCAAAATCAGTTGAGGTGTCTGAGAACATTGTTGGTGCTATTCTTGGGCCAGGGGGAACAGCTCTAGTTGAGATTCAACGCTATAGTGGTGCAACTATCCAGATCACAAAGAAAGGGATCTTTGCACCAGGTACAAGAAATCGAGTAGTAACAATCACAGGGACTCCAGAGGCCATCAATACAGCTCATTGTCTCATACAACAGAGAATCACAAAGGAAGAGGAGAAGCGAAAAATCCAGAACTACTTACGAGTCTAGGTCACCATAAAATGACAGATTCATAGCATCCACCTATCTCACAGATAAAATGGATGAATTTTGTGTCATAAAAGAGGTAGTTGTATTGGCCTCATGCTCAGCTACCCCACCTCTGATTCAGTGGCATTAATTTCCAGTTTCTAAAGTGCACTTGCTGCACAAGTCATGGGTCTGCCTTGTGTTCCAATTTTAGATATTGTTGCATGTGTCTTTGAAAGAAATGCACAGTCATGGTGTCCATGAATTGTGTGTCAAGTTCAGTCCAATTGTACTGTTACCTTATTCATCCTGTAAGGATACACTGTCTTGGATTTCATTTTTAAATCACTTCCCCTCTCCCCCATTTTAGTAGGCCTCGATTTAGAGAGCTTGATTTATAATATCAAATGGCTTGAAGGATTGCTGGACTTCACTTGATGTTTTTCTCCTTATCTCTCAATTTTGTGAGAGTTATTTTTCTTTTCCCTTGTAGGTCTATTCATACCACAAAGAATCATATGCTCTGGTAGGAATTCTGTACATATTGTCCCCTCTGATTCAGAGGCAGTGGTCATACTTAAGAGCTTCTGTTTGAAGAGGCTGGGCTATTTTTTCCTCACTGCTATAATCCTATAGCTCATTGAATCTTCGCTGAGGTATTTCTTGAGCATGGAAGTCCTTGATATTGGCTAGTCCTTGAGCTGCTCTGATGTATGGTTGAAGGCTTCCTGCATTGCAGGAAACTGTCATGGAGCCAAATGAAAGGCACCTAGTCATGTGTAACCCTCTTTTAGCCTTATTTGTTATGAAACCTGCCTTTGAATCTCTGTCTTGAAGATTTTGCTTTTTTTTTATTGCTGTGTTGTGCTTGTCTCACTTGGCTGTCTGAAGTGTCCACAAAAACATCACATGTGCATGGTATCAGTTCTTTGTAAGATCAGTCACATCTATTCTCCTCCCTCTTCATCTCACACCTTTCGTATAGTTCATCATGATGTAGTGGATGACTTCCACATGCAAGCCACATTTATTGTTACCATCATCGCTGGCTATAGTTCATTCATCCACTTCTGGTCTGTGATCATAAAACAGAGTGCATAATGCCAAATTTGCAGCAGAGATTTTTTTCTCCCACTCCGTCCTGGGATGAGATTTTTAAGTATTATTTGTTAGAATCAGTCTTATTAGCCTAGAGTAACAAATGATCTGATCAAAGCATGGAAACTTCACTTGAAAAGAGCTTTATTGCAAACTGATGCAATGTCAGAGTGAGTATTCTCACCCATAGTCATATTCCTGATGAAGGAAGAGGAATGTTCATATTTGACAGTTTGATATTGAAATAGGTGCATGAGGTTGCTATATTCTGTACATATTGTACTGAAGTATGTTTTTGGTAAATGAGATGCTTGATATAGAAAGGATTGTGAATTCACTTACTTTGCCCCATGGAATGTGATGAAAAACATTCACAATTGAATAAACTATATGGTGGCATCAACCCTTCCATTTTTTTTGCTACAGCTGTTATCATAGGTGCTGAGGGAAGGTAGCCCGAACATGATCAAGTTTTCTGCATGTAAACTTTTCTTAGTTCCATCATTTGTCTGATATCATCTATGCACACTACAGTAGAGGAACATGGACATAGCCATGGTATATATTCCTTCTTGGCATGGTTCACATTCAACAGGAAGACATTGATGAAGCCTAGCAGCTTGTCTCATTTCTTGAAATGGAATTTTAGCATCAGCTGCTTTTAACCAACAACTTTTTCATCATTAACTCATGTTAACTGTTAAGGAACTGGCTGAGACAGACACAACCTGCTACTGAGTGCAAAACATCCTTAGTGTATCATCTCTGGCTTGCAACTTATACAGCTTAATAATTGCAGTCTTGTGTTTTCAGTGTGTACTGTGGGTATTCCTGATCTGTCCGTAGGCAGGTGTTGTTACTTACAATCTGACTCAAATTATGATGGTAGTACCTGTGAGATCCGTAATGAAATACGAGATGGTTCAACCACAGGAAAGAGTATATTAACAAGACAAAGATAACTGACCAGAGATAGAAGAGTCCATCCGGGTGGCAGAGAAAAGGATATCCACACGTAAATACACGGAACCACTGAATATAACAGACTGACTGGATGTTCCTCCCCAGGTAGGGGCAGTCTCTCGGAGGTGGGAGGTGGAGGGGAGGACTCCTCCCCCTGCTCGCCACCCCCGGAGGTCCACAGTACATTACTTAGCAAGATAAATCTCCAAGAGGTTTTTGTGCTTCATAGTCCATTTACTGTAAGACTTGGCTAGTTAATCCATTACTGACAAGTGATCAGAGTGATGATATCACTCAAGAAACAATTTTTATTTTTGTCTACCAGTTTGAAGCTTATGAAACCATACTTGCACCGATACACTTGCCACTCCTTTTCTCCGCTTCTGGCACCCAGAGTTGGAGACTTCATTTAATTGAGAATAGCACATTCCAATCAAGTTTTCTTATCGAAACATAAAAAATGTGGACGTCTACAAACAAAAATCCTTTTTTTTCTCTTGTCCACAGTGAAAAATAAAGGTAGAGAGATGGTTTATGTAGTTTGCAATTAATAAATGCACTCTTTCTGAAGAAATTGGTTTTACTTTTTCAAGCCCCAGGCCTTCAGAATGTACTATGGGCCCTCACAGTTTTGGAGTATCATAGCCTAGCCCTACTTGGCACTTGAATAGAACTTGGGAAATTAGGCTTATAGATGTCACGAGGCCGATGTCCGAAGGTACCCATGTGAAAAGTCGCATCGCGGAATGGAAATCGGTCCGTAGAAAGCCCCATGCCCTGCATCATCATTGAATCAAGTTCAAGGGCTGAGGGGAATGTGAGATGTTTATTAACCCTCTCGCAGCCGTTCACGCCATATGGCGAGTTCAACGCGACGAACCTCCAGCATTTAAGTCCTCGGCACTGAAAGGGTTAAGTGAGAAGAGGGCCTTGGACTGAAGAGGGGGATGCGCAGAGCAGAGATCCAGCCGGTTGGTGACTCATGAGAAACCAATCGTGTCGGTGTCACGGACTGACGTCAATCCTAAGCGGCTAGCTCATGGTGGGTCTCATCGCTCATTCCTGCCGCACGCTAAACTCTGCCATGCCTTCAAAAGGTCTCTTCCTCGCCGCTATTTGATCAGCTACATAATAATACACCCCCGACGGAAGAATCGTATTTGCATAGAAACACAGTTACGAATTACTTCTATGTTGCCTGAACGGAAACCAAGGCCAGTCATACAGGGAGAAAGCTCAGCTTTCGCGTGATCCGCTAAACTGATTTTTTTTTCCTACTACCATTCGGCAAAGAGCAGAAAATCAAGCGAGGATCGTTTTCTTCTCCCCGTTTCCTAGCCCGTCCTTTATTCCTGCTGGAGGATTTCCTGTGCCTGGAGAGAATGAATAAGATGCATGGAGGTGCACCCAAGCGCGCGTTAATCAATGTGTCGTCGACACTTTAAGTGAACAGGACTTATTATATTCTCCTCGAACAGCCTTTGCCTTGAAGGGGATTGAGTATGAAACGAAGCCGATTCTTTTGGTTAAGGATGTGGGAGAACAAGTGAGTGATCCGCCTGACAGAAAATCCGAACTTCCGGCCATTTGTTTCCCTTGAAACTCTCTTCAGGTCTCTTTTTGATTCGCGTAGCACACATAATAATACCAACAAGGGAATCCAATGTGTCAGGTTCCCATTGCATTGCTATTGGAGGACAAAATTCTCATTCAGTCGGTGAGTCAAAACGTTGCATTTGCTGTTTATAGGAAGCAGCGACGTGAAAAAATCTCTCATAGATCAGGATGATAAAGTATCTGGAGGAAACTCCCAATGAGCACAACTCTTAAATCCCAGCTGTGTCACTACTGAGATTAACGCGGGCAGACGAGAAAATAGCGATACGGATATAATCCTACTGTCCCGCAGCTGGGGCACCGCGACATCTTATCAACTGCCACATAACGGCTTATTTCCAGCAAGGATTCAGCCGAGACATGTCAGCTGAGGAAGCTCAGTAATGTCCAAAGTGTTTTCCTGCTGTGATTATCAAGCATTAATAAAGGCGATTGCGGTGTTTTGAAGTGCAGCTGTTACTCAACACTTAGCATTCAGTTGGGGTGTCTCTGTTATGAAGCAACTGTGCTCTAACAGAGGAAAAACTAGGAAAGAGCTGGTCTGCGTGAGTTACGTCATGGGCGAATTCTATTGGTAGTTCAGATTTAAAAGAAGACACTGGGAAGTCATATCTAATTTTTATGCGCATTCTCAAAGTTTTGTCATTTTAGGACCTCAGGAGGCATAAGAAAAATTTATTGTTAATTTTGGTGTGGAATAAAAAACCTAGCTTGTGGTTGTGCGCACTTCGAGACATTCTCATCATCAGACCCAGGCAGAGATTCAAATAATTGGCGAACTTGCGAGCCTGGCTCGCGGGAAATCAGAGCTGGAGTGGGCAGGTGGGGTAAGAAAGTTGAACAGTGGCGATGATAGGGATAGGGATGAGGAAGCATCAGGGAATGTACGAAAGTCATATGAGCATAAAATATCAGTGAAAATTCAGACTAAATAGGTCGGATTCTTTTCATCAAAAGCAATAGCTTAGGGAAGGTGCGATCTCACTGTCGTCGCTCTAATGGAGTTACCTCCACTCTGCCCCTCCGTATTGGTGACGCCCAGATGCTCAGAGCAGCAAGAAACGGATGTCAGTGTGCGCGTGGCAGTCGCGGTAGGTAGGGGTATAACGTTTCAGATGAAAATTTTCATGGTAAAAGTGAACTGATTTCCCCCCAATTCTACATTGTGACAAAGTGACAAAGTAAGCATATATTTTTTGTCAAAGCAAGTCTCCATAACATCTTATCCTTTTCCTTAGAAGCTTGCTACCTACATTATACTATACTTATTCATAATGCTTGCAAATACGCATTTCGATGACTTCAAATATCTTTTCCTTTGATTCCTTGAGCAACTCAATGTTTTTCTTTTTTTTTCCAGCTGCTGTGCAACAAAATCACACAATCAAAACCGCTACTGATGCAGAAATTAAAGAAAAAGGCCATACTTGGACTCATAATTCCATATTCGATCAGCTTTCGTCGCGGAGTTACACACTACAACACTATGCACTATAGTGGATACTCCACATTGGTCACTACAGTCTTTTTTCAATTTTACGGTCACTGACAAAAGTACTCATATACAAAAGGAACTAGTAAATGTTAATTTATAAATTGTTCTATTCATGTTTTTTATTTCCTCTGCGAATAACTATTTGATCTATTTGAAAAAAAGGATGCAGGTTTGCTCATAATAGGTCTTGTCAATATCATTCTAATGCCAATGACTGTGACTTTGTACATGCTATCTCTATAACATTATATTAATAATATCGTCTGAAAAAGTGCATGTTAACCCTTTCTCAGACCATGAACAGGATAAAATGTTTTTTCCTTTTGTGGGGTTTTTCTTTTTCTTCTTTGCTTGAAGGGGTGTGAGAATACAGCAGAGAAGCAACTGGATTAACTGGATTGTCAACCCGTTCATTGACCTCTTTTGGGGAGTATTGTGCATTTAAGATAACCAGAGGCTTTTTGATTTCTTATACGATTTTTTTTTACATACTATCCAACAAAAATGTATTCATTATTAATGGATATTCTTTGTGCTATTGGAGGTGATATGATCTCTGGTCAGACAGTGGATAGTAGGGATTGCACGGCATATGCTTTGCTGCAGTGCAGCAGGGCAGACCAGCTTCCAGCATAGCTGGATAACAGCTGAGCTATTCTCTTATTTTCTCTGCTGTTACTCAGCTGCAAGATGTGTGACACTGCCAGTTGAGATTCCACTGATATGCTCTTTCTCGCAGCTGCACACTCAGCTCTTTCCCAGCTGCATCCCGACAGAGTGTGTTACCTGGATAACCCGGAAAATCCTCTCTTGCCCAAGGTATTATACAAGCCCATCAGATACTGGGTCTGGATGAGCATGAAAGTTAACTGGTGACCCGGCTGAATCCGTCGGTTGTACCCCGACCCATGATAACCACTTCCCTCGTTCTCTCCTTGCAGGTTCAAAGTAGACATGAGCGAATATCCCATCATCACCCGGATTAATGAAGAACTTGGCCAGCTCGATGCCTTCGTTATGGCACATCCCNGAACTTGGCCAGCTCGATGCCTTCGTTATGGCACATCCCACCAAGCAGCCAGATGCACCTCCTGAATTTCGATCTTGAATGCCCTCGGTTCCTCCGTCCATGCCCTCAAAGTCGTGGCATGCTTGTGCAATAAGCTGTGGTGAATTTTATATGGAATGCTTTGAGAACATGAAATATAAAGTGCAAGTGTCCTCTGTGTCCTTTCATCTCGCCATACCTCGGGTGGAAAGAGGTAGCCATCTTCAACGTAGTAGGTATTGAGCACGTAGTCTGCAAATCGTAGAGCTCTCGAACGGATACATGAATGTATTAATACTTTCTGATTGGCAAATCTTGTTCACAGAAATATTCCCCCCCCCCCCATTTCTTTCCATTCCTGGTTTCTCCTTTGCAAAATCCTTTGCCTCAAGAAATGAGCTATAAGAAGGTAGACAAGAAGCACTTATTTTCTAATTATTCGTTGCATTCAAAGTGAGGGAAAGGGGATTAGGGTAAGTGAAATAAATTCCGACCCTTTAAGGTAAAAATCCAACACCTTGTACACGTTTTGAAATAGGTGGTTTTAGGATCTATATTATTCGAGAAGATGCACATCCTATCGATTCACGTCTTGAGGGTGGGGACATCGGTGTAATTTGATTGAAAAAGACATTGGATTTGTTATATTCAATGATGATGTAGGGGTGGACTTTTTGGCAGGATTGGAATTTGTCTCACCCTAGTCATCGGTTCTGGTTGGGTTTAAGATTCTCAGTTCGGTGGCCTTCCACACCAGCTTTATAGCATTAAATATTGGGAGATGACTTCAGTCAAAGTTCAGTCTTGATGGGATGCCATTCCGCCCCATTTTGAGTGCCGACTTTGAAGGAAGCAGCAACAAACCAACAGTACATGATACCCATTCTTCATTTCGTGGATGTAGAGTTGACAAAACATTTAGTGCTGTTGTCAGAGGTTCCATCTATTATAATTAGGGCTGTACCGGTGGCTACATTTGGCCGGTGGGCCGATGGCCGATTATTTTCTTATACCAATCGGTCGGTACCGGTGCTGGTGCCGGTACCTCTTGTGACGTGTAGAGAAACAGCGAAAAAGCATTCGACAAAAAATTTTTAAAAGTCAAATAGACATATTATGAATGCACGTTCAATTTTATTATTGCTTCCACGCTGGGTGTTTCGAATACACCCATGTATCGACCTGAAACATCGATAATGCATCGATGCTGCCTGGGGGTGGGGATGTCAGCGGATTCAGTCTTTTCTCACTGCGATCGGGATCTGGTTTCTGCCTCGCTTCCGCCATTTCTTGCTTCGATCGGGGCGCGGACCTATATCCGCCTTCCAAAATCTGTCGCCTGTGATTCGAGGAGTTGGAGGGGGAGGTGTGACCTTCGCGGCGGTGATAAAGCATACCATACCTCAACTATCGAAAATGACATCAATACATCGATGGATGAACTGCGATAGCCCTAATTTTTTCCTATTACCGTTGAGAATCGGTTACCGAGACCCGTTCACGTGGTATTTTTTTATTTTTCCTCGTTCAGCACGTTCTTCCTTGAACATCGGCACCGGCTGGTTCCAAACCTGCGATGGCCGATGTGGCCGATAGTCCAACACCGGCGGCCGATACCGGTGTTAGCCGATACATCGGTACAGCCCTAATTATAATATATCCTTTCTGGGTATGGAAAAATCACAATGCCTATCAGCGAGACGTTCACGGGAAGAAATGCTTCACCCTGCATGTCTGCAAGTCCGAGACAGGGTCTTGTGAACATCCGAGCGCGAACTTAGCAATGACACATTCTTCTTTTGTCCTTAACTCATTCTATCAAATTGTTATCACTTCTGCTATCAGCAGCATTTTCCTTCTCCTTCAATGGAGTCTCAGATTTGTCTGGTTTGTGTAGGTAATCAGTAGGTCTTGCTCTAAGCCTAGTCACCTGCAATTTTCAAATAGTCCATTAAAATAGTCCTCCTTGCAAATTAAATCGAACTAAAGAAAGTTAGGTCTGTAGATATGACGCCAATGACTAAACAAAACCATGTGAAACCAGGTCTCATCACTGAAAAATGGAAACCGGTCCACTGGAAGCCCCACGCTCTACATCACCACCGAACCAAGTTCAAGGGCGGAGGGGAATGTGAGTTGTTTGTGAGGCTTAGCGGGCTGGCGTATGATGGAAGACAGTCGCGTTAGTGCCGTGCGGCGACGTGAATGCCAAGGGACTGGACTTGCCTTCAGGGTCGGGGTCATCACACATTCCTACCACACGCTCGTGAGTTGAGGTGAAGTCGGTACGGAAGTTTCCACTCTAGAGAAGGTGCGAAGATAACCTAGTCGATGTATAGAGCAGGGGTTGCTCACTTAATATAAACGTACCATTGTGAAAGTGCTTTATGAAGAATGCTACCTGACGGAAAACAAAGACCAGTCATAAAGGCGGAAAGCTCAGCTTCCGCGTAGGCAGCAATTTTTTTTTTAACATCCTTCTGAGAAGAGCAAAGAATCAAGCGACGATCGTTCTCTTTTCCTCACTTTCCCAGCCCGTGCTCTATTCCTACTGGAGGAGTTCCTGCTCCTGGAGAGTACGAATTGGTAAGTAGCGTCTGACGCGTTAATCAGTGCTTCGCCGACGGTGTAAATGGACAGGACTTACATTTTACCCGAATAGCCTTGGCTTTGAAGGGGATTGAATATGAAACGAGGCCGATTCATTTGATCAAGGATGGGGGAGAACAAGTGAGTGACAGTGACAGAAAATCTGAGCCTCCCGCCATTTGTTTCCTTAAAACTCACTTCCGGTCTGTTTGATTCCCGTAGAACACAGAAGAATTTCACAAAGTGAATCCAATGCGTCAGGTTCCTGCCTTGCTACTGGAGGACGAAATCCTCACTCAGTCTGTGAGTCTAAACATCTTAGTTGTTGTTTGAATGAAGCAGCGACATGAAGGAAATTTTCTCTCATAGATCAGTATCATGGAGTATCTGGAGGAAACCAATCCAGAAAATCCTCTCTTGCCAAAGGATGGAGACGAGTCTCGGTTCCAAACTGAGTAAGTAAGTATACTTAGCAGTAAAGAAAGCACTCCTTGTGCCTCCGGAACAGTACCATCCAGGCTCTCTAGACGCTTAACTAACGTAGACCTTAGGTTGGAATACAAAACAACGTCCCGAAGCAGTTGAAGGAAGATGAGCGGCAACGCTGGCCGGCTTCTGCCATAATCAGAGGATTCAATGGCGTGTCCAATTTTTAAGAGCTCAAGAAATGTTATTTGCAATTGATTATGATTGTGGTTTTGTTTCAGCGTTAGAGAAACTACTCGCCCGAAGTGCTGGAAAGTATTGCGTGGGAGATAATGTCACGATGGCAGATTGCTGTCTTGTACCACAGGTCTTCAAGGCACACAGGTGATACCCAAAGATATAATGATTATGTAGATATTATACAAGCCCATCGGATACTGAGTCTGGATGAACACGAATGTTAACTAGTGACCCGGCTGAATCCGTCGGTTGTACTTGCTGGGTACTATTGGTGAAGGGAGCAAGAGAGGAACGTCCAAGTTTCATCTGTACTCGCTTATAGGGTAGTAGTGGGCCTAATTACTTCTTGAACCGGTCGAGCTACGGAAGCAATACCGTGTAGGGTGGTTCGTCGGTCTACGTGGAGGACTTAAAGCTAGAACTTACGGGAGCCAAGGAGGCAGGTACGGGAGTTTCAGCACCGTACGAACACGTTATTCGACACCACTTAAAATATACCTTACGAAACTCTGCATGAAATATAAAGGGCAAGTGTCCTCTGTGTCCTTTCATCTCGCCATACCTCGGGTGGAAAGAGGCAGCCATCTTCAACGTAGTAGCTTTTGAGCACGTAGTCTGCAAATCATAGAGCTTTCGAATCTGAGGGAGCGTGTGCGATGAAGTCATCCCCAACATCAGTTTACTTCAATAATGGAAGCCCGAAGTCTTGTATGAACCATTTGCCTTACTCGGACTTACTGTCGGAATATGAGACATCCAATCCAAGGTTTTAAATGCGTCTCTACCACGCTTGGGCGCGATCAGTATCCCATTACTTTTGCTGAAGGCAATGTTTTTTTTCGGATTCTCTCATGAGCTTCTGCATCAAAATTTCCCTTCCCCGCCAAACAAAAATATGGAGCCATCGTACGCCATTCAATGTGGAATGGCGTACGATTGGAGTTGCAGCTTTTTGAAGATCAACACTGTGGGAACGTTCACTCTGCAAGATTTCACCGTTTTTTTTCCTAAAAGTCTTCAGTTGTGCACGGCAGGATTTAACAATGTATCTCGACGTCACTGCCCCATCTGTCGCAGAAACTGGAATTTATGCAGATCTACCACTTAACACATATGACCAATATTATTTTCTAACGTCTCCATTTTGCGCTCCACCTATTCTTTGCTGTGAACTGAGAAGTTGTGGCAAAAGGACGACAAGGGAGAAGAAAACTGTTCTCATCGCTAGTCAAGTGTCGCAAAAGGCCCTAAGGGGATGGGGTTCATATCATACAAGCTGGGTTGTCCGGCGTTGCCCGGGATATTTTTTAGGAGTAATATAGCTGTTGTTCTTTTATGTGCTTTTTTGTTAGTGCTTATTTATCTAAGTCCGGCCAGCATGACGGGGACGGGAGCACTGCTCTGGCCATTTTATTTTTATTTGTTTTTTTTTTCTTATTTTTTTAAAAGTTGTTCTAAATTAATTATTAACTCAAAGGGGCTCTTCTTTCACAAAAATCTGACTTAAATGAGTTTCTCAATGATATTCTTATTTCACAGGAAAAACTAAACTCCATTTTCTCNCCCCCCCCCCCCCCCCCGGAGCCGCCCCCCCTGATCCCGACCCCCCTATGACCTGCTACTGGACAGACCCCACCCTCCTGCGAAGGTTTCAGGTCGATATCTCTAACGGTGTCCGAATACATAGCGTCAGATGGACAGAGACAGACAGAGATCCTTGCTTATAGATATAGATTAAGCGCAAAAGGTAGGAGACATGAAAAATAAGAATTCAGCCATCGCTCCCTTGATCACGAGGGAAAAGCCCCTCACACACTGGTATTATACACAAATGTATACAGGGTGAATCAAAAGTCACTGGACGACTTTAAACAGCTTTAACTCAGCAAGGAAGGCTTTAATTTGCAAACGGTTTATTGCAGGCGAAGGAGCGTGCGTTAATTGACGAAACAACATGGAGTAGGCATGACATTCCAATAAGAAATGGGACAAGCCTGCACGAAACGAAAAGCAACAATTTTCAACGTAAAAGTGATAGGGTACAACGGAAGCCCTATTCACGATTATTATTTTTTTTTTTTTTGCTGCAAAAATTGGTTTTCTGATAATGCCGATAAACTTTCTTCGGAGGAACGTGTCGGGATCGTTAAAAATTCTCTATCCGTTAAGGAAGTCTTTCCGAAGTGAAGCGTCGTTTTGCCTTGACGGGTGGATAGGCCGGCTCGGGCCCTTCGAGTGGCTTCCCAGGTCGCCGGACCTGACTCCACTCGACTTCTGGCGGCGGGGTTTCATTTAAAGACCAGGGATGTCATCGAACTGAAGCAACGCGTCACTGAGATTTCTGGGGTTGCTTTTCGGTGACGGCTTGCGTGATTTGAGCTTGATGGTGCTCAATATCAGGGCAAATCATTACAATCATTTTTACGCCAAATAAATAAATATTTTTTTTTTGCAAGGTTGCATATTGATTAATTATTGCAAGATATTTCCCACGCAAAAAAAACCGTTTGCAAAGTAATGCCTTCCTTGCAGAGTTATAGCTGCTTAAAGTCGTTCAGTGACTTTTGACTCACCCTGTATGTGGAGTTAATTAAGAGTGAACATCAGCTGCTCGTATCCACTGATTCTTTTTTGCCATCACCCGAGATGAGCCGTTACGGAAGTAGCTGAGGTTGACACATTTTGCTGGTGAGTGTAAAAACACATTAGCGTAACTTCTCTGGCTTGCTAGTTGCATCATCATTTTGTAATGTAAATGCTGGCGCACTTGTTTCTATGGGAGCTACTCAATTTGTGCTGCCTTGTTTTTTCGGTGTGTAATCACTTTGAAAGTCAAACCTCCAAGCACTGGGTTTCTCCATTTTTTAGGTACACAGTCAGTCCTTTTACAAAAAAAATGCTATTAAATTGTAGGCCATTACTGTTAGGTTAGGTTAGGGCGTTAATTTCACTCATGAGCACTTTCATTTTTATCAGCCAGCTTGAAGCCATACTTGAGCCGGTTCTATTCACTTTTCCTAAGTTCCTCGCACAGAGTTGGGCATTTCATTTGCCATATTCCTCATGTTTCCTGAGAGAATGGCTATTTGGAAGAGTAGTTAAAGAAAGCTGTAGCGAATTCCGATCAAATTTTCTTATCAAAGCAAAAGAAATGTGGCACTCCACATTTCTTTGGTTTATTCCTCCACCTCCATTATTGTGCAAAACAAGATAACGAGAACTTAGGGTTTTTTTTTTCTTGGTTGACAGTAAATAAATGCATTCTTTCTGATGAAACAGGTTCTTTTTTTTTCAAATCCCCAAGCCTTCACAAAAATCTATAATTATTCTTCAGGTTCTCAAAGCATTCCATATAAAATTCACCGCATCTTAATGCACAAGTATGCCACGACTTTAAGAGCATTCAAGATCGAAATTCAGGGGGTGCATCTGGCTGCGCGTTGGGATGTGCCGCAAAGAAGGCATCAAGCTGGCCAAGCTCCTCATTGATCCGAGTGATGATGGGGTATTCGCTCATGTCCACATTGAACCTGCAAAGAGGGAACGAGAGGAGTGGTTTTCATGGGTCGGGGTATAACCAACGGATTCAGCCGGATCACCGGTTGACTTTCATGTTCATGCAGACCCAGTATCTGTTGGGTTTGTATCATGGCTATCACCTGCGGGCATTGTAGACCTGTGGTACAAGACAGCAGTCTGCCATCGTGACGTTATCTCCCACGCAGTATTTCCCTGCACTCTGGGAAAGTATTATTTCTAACGCTGAAAGAGAACGGCAGTCATAATACTTGGTAAAGAACATTTCACGTCAAACTTGAACTTTTGACAATTGGATATACCATTGAATCCTCTGACTATGGCAGAAGCCGCCCAGGGTTGCCGTTCTTCTTCTTTCAACTGCTGCAGAACGCGGAGGTTTTGCATAGGTTGGATTCCAGATGCAATCAATTCGCAGATCTCTCGGACCTACCATGACAAGGCCTCCGTGTTCCTCACGAAAGAAATGACGATTCATATGAATGAATGAGTCAAACCTTGGCTCTGAGCAGAGGTAGAAGTATTTCGTGAAAGTGTTACCATGCAAATATAATTCACTCGTTGGGGACGAGATATGTAGCTGATCCAATAGAAGCGTGGAAGAGATCTCACCTTTGAAGGCATGGCTGAAGTGGAGTTGAGTTGAGCGTGTGGTAGGAATGTGTGATGACCCCGACCCTGAAGGCAAGTCCAGCCCCTTGACATTCACGTCGCCCCACGGCACTAACGCGACTGGTTTCCATCAGACTCCAGCCCGCTGAGCCTGTGAAGCGACTCCACACACCCCTATACACCCACACACAGCTTCAGCCCACGGCTCTCCATCTCCCACAAACAACTCACATTCCCCTCCGCCCTTGAACTTGGTTCGGTGGTGATGTAGAGCGTGGGGCTTCCAGTGGACCGGTTTCCATTTTTCAGTGATGAGACCTGGTTTCACATGGTTTCGTTTAGTCATTAGCGTCATATCTACAGGCCTAACTTTCTTTAGTTCGATTTAAGTTGCAAGGAGGACTATTTTAATTAAGCCAATGGCATTCCAAATTTGCAGGGGACTAGGCTTAGAGCTAGACCTACTGATAAACAAGAATCTTTGGCCCAATCCTAGCACAACGTCATTCAATTCATTGGAAGAAAAATTTCTTAGGCAAGTGTATAACCTTATCTGGACCTATGGACATGTCATAGGCTCCCCCCTATGTTGCCTAATAGTGCTATTCATAGAGAAATAATCCCATCCAGTTATACCGTCATTGGAGCATTTACAGTTTGTGACCATATCTGCTTGCAGATTGCATCAACTGTCCCCTGACTAAGATGGTCAGTGATGAAATCAAGTCCAACAAATCCAGAAGTAAACACAAACCAGACAAATCTGAGACTCCATTGAAGGAGAAGGAAAATGCAGCTAATAGGAGAAGTGATGAAAATTTGATAGAGTGAGTTAAGGAGAGAAATTTTTGACCCCTTTGTGTTTTGGATAAGCTAACTTGTGTGTATCTGATCAAACCATGGGCCACAAACACACCTGATGAAAGATTTTCCACCTGGTATACTTGCATAATCCATTGTTGCTGATTGGACTGTTGAAATAATGGGCAAATATGAGTCTTTCCTCCTAACAGAGCTTTCTCAACAACCAGGCAGAACCATATTCATGAAATTCTTGGGATCTGTCAGCAAACAGGAACATGCACACAATAGGGAATTGCATTACTTAATAGACCTATCTTTAATGTATCACAGTTATAGTCTCATTCCCTCTTGCTGTTTGTCTTATTTACCAATCCATGGTTTGTTTATTTCTGTAGTGTTTGAAATCTTTTGGAGGATTATCTATGTTCACATGTGTGGCCATCCATCCTGTAAGTAAACTGTAAGCCTCTAGTCGCCTACTGTGGGGTTTTGAGAAGGCATATGCCTGAAATTATAAGACCAAATAGTCCTTGTCAATATGCAAGTTATTCCATGGTCATTTGAATTTTTATTTTCAGTGGAGATGCAAGGACACAATGGTTCGTATTGGCTGCAATCATACTCCTTTCTGTTGGCACAAGGCTTTACAAAGTGGAAACCCCAAATCATGTCTGGTGAGTATGACCCTGAAGATCAGTACCATTTCCAGTAGATTACAAATGCAATTTTGGACTTATTGCTTGTGCTTACATATCAAAGCTACTTATCCTTGAAACTTCTTAACTTATTCATAAAAGGTATCAATTTATAATTTATAATTTGAACTCCATTGGAATTTTGCACTTTGGAATACAATACAAGCAGAACACAAATCAAACCCGTATGGGCTATTTTCACACAATCATGCAGTAGCCAGGCTAGACTGACTGCATCTTGGTAGTATAATCACAAAGATAGTAACAAACCACAAGTTGAGTGCACCTAGGTGTGAAATATAGAAATAGTTAATTTTTTGATAGCAGAAATGTATAGGGTATGAATTCCATGAAAGAATGCAAGAAGATTATTTTGACAATTGCATGTTGAGAGTATGCTTTAGTGGGTAGCAGAGCTCAAATAGGGATGTGAACCACTAGCACTTGACCTGGCTTAGTAATGCTCTTATAATATTTCACTTTGCTGTTTGACCTTGACTACCCACTCATGTCTGGTTGATGTAATTGTTGTCATACTGTTCCTTCATTCTGCAGTGAATTTCATGGCTCTGCACATTTTTATTGCTAAAAAAAATGTTATAGTCCAAGCATCTCTTGCTTGGCGTACTCCATGAGATTGGCCGTCTTGTTTGTAACAATATTCCCAAGATACAGTGTGTCTGCCAAGCTTGACTGCTGGTGCTAGTAGCCCATAGCTCATATTCTTCATCTCTTTCTATAAATTTACAATTGCATTTATAACTTTCCTGACTTTGCTGTTTATGATCGGGTGGCCAAAAAATATTTGCACAAAGTATGTTTTAGGCAATTTCAATGTCCACTGATGCCGTAATTTTCACAAGCAAATATATATAAAAGAAGTTCATTCACATCTTATTCTTATTTAAACTAATCATTAATATAATCTCCCGTCTTGACTTTGCAATGATGCACTCTTAACAACCATTGTCTCAAAACTTGTCGACAAAAAGCCTTAGGTACTCTATCAGCCCTGTTTTGAATTTCTCTTCTTAACTCATCGTAGTTTATCACGTCCTGCTTGATGTTACGCATCAGATCGCCCCATACCCCATAGTCCATCAGATTCAGATCTGGACTGTTGGGAGGTCAGATGTTTACTTTCCAAAAGTTGGGAAGCTGATCTTGATGCCAGCTGTGAGATAGTTTGCTTTGATGCACTAGCGTCCCATGTTGTTGATATATCCAATGGTCATGCTCGAACGACCTGTCCCCTTCCCTCTTCACATGTGGCTGTACTTGGTTGATGTTAAACTGTGCAGTCATTCTTTGCCTGGGATCAAAGAAAATGGGTTGCATCAGACCATTCCAGGTGATCCCCATCCAGACCATGATTGTTAATGGATGTCGGCTGGAAATGGAAATGGCTTGGGCTCCATTTTCACTGAAAATGGAGCCCGAGCCATTTCCATTTACATTAGCTTCATTTCTAGAATGAACTCCTGAGTTCCTGCGATTGGTAATTGGGACTGCCATGAAATTCTTTCCATTAGAAAACATGATTTTTCTTAGATCTGCCAGCATGGCAACTTGGCAGTTGTTTAGGAAAAACACTGTTTAAGATGAAAGAAAACTAATTTTCTGTGCACTTCACTTTTAGCCATTTTTCATGAAAACTAACAGGAGTAGGTGATGGGCTATTTATATGCCCTTTTCCTGTTACTTTTTAGAATAGTCTCGAATTATCTAGTATTGGTCATCTGCATAGCACCTTAGTCCAAATAAACTAAAAGTTGTGCAAATATTTTTTGGCCACCTGATATATCTGCAAAGAGACTTTGCAGGATTCATTTGAACTCCTTTTGTATATTTTGCTTACAAATTAGAGAAACATCTGCTGCTTCAAAGCCAAAAAATGCTCTCAATATTGGAAATCTGATTCCTAATGTCTTAGGAAAAAAGGTGATTAGGAACTACTTTTGTTTCATGGTCTTTTGAACTTGCATTCCTAGTTGGGATGAGACTCACTTTGGAAAAATGGCAAGTTGGTACATCAACAGGACGTTCTTCTTTGATGTCCATCCACCACTTGGCAAGGTATGCTTGTAGTTCTTTTCATATATCCTGGTGGTAAGGATGATATTCTGGTTTCAGGATTACTCTTCATGAAGGGAATTGTTTTCTTCTTCAGATGTTGATAGCAGCATCTGGGTATCTGACTGGCTATGATGGCAAATTTGACTTTGTTAAGCCTGGTGATCCTTATGGAGATGTGAATTATTTAGGAATGCGAGTGGTAGGTCTTAACTTAATCTCCACATCCTAGCATGTTGTGTTTGAGAATAATTTCATAATGTGCATATTGTCTTCTGCTTTTTGTGTAGGTGTGTGCATTGTTGGGTGCAGCTATCCCTCCAATGGTGTTTGTCACTGTATGGGAGATGACTTATTCATTGAATGCAGCCATACTTGCTGGAAGTTTTGTTCTCTTTGGTAAATGAATTTTGACTGGATTAATTTTGTGCAATGGAATTAATGCTATTCATGAATGTCTTTCCCAAATGTGTCATATATCATGAAAGAAATCCAAGTGCTGTAATTTTGTGAATTTTCCAGATTTTGGGGTCCTTACTCTGACTCAGTACATCTTACTTGATTCATACCTCCTGTTCTTCATATCAGCATCCTTCATGTGCTTGGCCAAGTTCAATTCGCTTGCTGATAGGTGAGTGAATGAAAGTAAACTAAAATGGAAAGAGATAGTTAGAGTTTGCAGCCCTTCACACAGGATTGTTTCTTCATTTGCAGGCCATTTTCACTCTCATGGTGGACATGGTTATTCCTCCTGGGAACCTTCCTTGCCTCAGCATTTAGTGTAAAGTTTGTTGGCTTATTCATCATTCTTTATGCTGGTGTGAGGACTGTTTGGGATTTGTGGGTTATTCTTGGTGATCTGGAGAAACCATTGGTGAGGTTCACAATTTGCATAATGGTGCTTTATGCTGTGATTCTGTTGTTAATTGTCTTTATTTGTCCATGCAGAGCTACACATTCAAGCACTTTGTGGCCAGGACCCTCTGTCTCATCATATGGCCTGCTGTGATGTACATTATTGTCTTTTACATCCACTTGCATGTTCTGTCCAAGTCAGGAAATGGTGATGGCCATTACAGCACAGCATTTCAATCCACTCTTGAGGGGAATCCTCTGTATAATGCGTCGATGCCAGCCAGTATGTTTTTTTAATTTGGTAATGAAACTTTGTGGCATAGGCATGGATGACCCCACTCTTATGTTTTTCTCAAGATGTGGCCTTTGGTAGTGAGATCACCCTGAAGAATTACAGAGTTGGGGGTGCTTATATACATTCCCACTGGCACCTCTATCCAAAAGGTGTTGGTGTGAGACAACAGCAGGTCACAACATATGCTCATAAAGATCCCAACAATGTTTGGATTGTGAAGGTATGCTTTTTCTAAAATTTATGTCTGTCATGAGAGTTTTTCAGCTGTTCTCTGTCAGGAATATTTCTACTTTTCAGTCTTTTGAAAAGCCTGCTCCCCTGCACAATAGCACAGAACCTGTCCAACTCCTCAAAAATGGGGATTTGATCCGCTTGGAACACAAGATCACACGTAGGAATCTCCATTCTCACAAGGTTCCAGCCCCAGTTTCAAGAAAACATTATCAGGTGACAGGATATGGAGAGGTGAGGCAACATCAATCTTTATTGATCACTATGTTTCTGGGCTTTAGCATATGGAACTGATTTGAGAATCTTTGCTCTCTCAGAATGGCACTGGAGATGCAAATGATATCTGGAAAATTGACATACCAAATGGAAAGCCAGGAGATGAGGTTCATCCTGTGAGGACAATTTTCAGGATTGTTCATCATCTATCAGGCTGTGCTCTCTACTCACACAATAAAAATCTTCCTCGTTGGTATGTGTATTTAAAAAATTATGTTCTACCATCCGAGGGCATGTTCAATACATAATACATTACTTCCTTGCCATTTCTAGGGGATTTGAGCAAATGGAAGTCACCTGCAATCCCAACCTCAGACATCCATACAACCTGTGGAATGTAGAAGAGAATTACTTCCCAAGATGTGTGTTTCTGAGTAGTTATTACCCTATATAAAAATGCTACTGTCTGCATCACTTGGTGATCTGAAACTAATTTATGTTCATTTGTTGGTGAACAGTGCCAAATGTGAGCATGGAGATGCACAGACCCTCATTCCCAAAACGCTTCATAGAAGCACATGCTGTGATGCTTCAGGGGAATGCAGGCCTGAAGCCCAAACCTGGGGAAATGTATGCTAAGCCATGGCAGTGGCCCATTGACTTTCGGGTAATTGAAACTATTCCATCTGTGCTTGGCTTTTTTTGGGGGGGACTGAATGGCAGTTGAGGAGGATATGATGGAGTTCTTTGATAATATTTCTGCACCTTTCAGGGACAGTGGTTTTCAGCTGCAGACTCTCTACATGTGTACTTATTGGGGAATCCTATAATCTGGTGGGGAAATTTGATCTTCATGACAGTCTTCCTGTGCTGCTTTGTCTACAACTCTATCAAGGAACAAAGAGGGTACCTTGATCACCCAAGTGTCATGAGTAAGTATTGAAATTCTGTGTTTGTTACTAATTCCAGACTAGAACAGCAGTTCCCAACACTGTGATAAAAAGAATGGGCTGTGAAGCCACCTGGTAGGGTGACTTCTTTATCATCATGCTGTATGCATGGTGATTTAAAAACATTGATAAAACTTCATAATTTTGAAAAGTGAATCTTTTATGTGCATGATGTTGGGGTTGCAAGAATTTGCAACTGTCTGAATGGGGTCACGTCGAAGATGTTGGGAATCACTGCTCCAGAAGATTAACTTCAGTATGCCATTTGCTTAGCTATGCATAATGCTCTCAAGATGTCATATGAAGAGATTTTCTTTTGCAGGACTCTGTGATAATCCTTTACAGGCATTAACAATTCTAGCCTTGTACCCATCATAAGATGGATATCACCCATAGTGCATTTAAAACACCCTGTATGCACTAATATAAGTAAATATGAGTGCTTGAGAAGGTGGCATGGATGCATCCATGCATCCATCTTTCAATAATTGCCTTGCTAAGGCATCTGGAATTTGCTATATACTCAAAGATGGTGAAGGGTTTTCCAACCATACAAAGTAAGCTTTAAAGACAGTATGCAATTTAAACCAAGGCCCATGCTCAAATAGGAAAAATGTGGAAGCACGCTTTCTTTTCAAGGTGTATTGCCCATTTTTGGGGCTGCATGACATGTTCATGCCCTGCTCACAAGGAGTGCTGTCATGAGTTTGGTGAGATGAAGGGTGCCAATGCATGAAAAAGTGATCACAGATGATCTGTTGTATTCACATAGAATTTATTTACTTTTTTTTTTATTTAGTAAAAAAAAAATTATATCTTTAAACTTTTAACATATTTTATTTGGATCTGACATATTGCAGGGATGTGTTTCCCCCTCCACACACAGCAATGCATCTGATGCACCCTATAACAATGCTGGCACCACAGTAATGATGGTACTTTGAGTTAAAGTTGGTCATTTATTCCTTTTAGAGCGGAAGCACAAAATGCGGTATGCTTGCTTGTGGTTCTTCATTGGCTGGGCCCTCCACTACTGGCCATTTTGGGCCATGGGAAGAATCCTTTACTACCATCATTATTTCCCAGCACTCCTTTTCAGCACAATGCTCTCAGGTAAGCTACATCAAACGATAAAAATACAATCCCTGAAGGACACGTTCAACTTGTAATCATTTATCATATCCTATAGTTGTCTTTGAATATTCTCCCTTCTTTGTAGGTGTGATCATTGACTATTTGTTGGAGAGTTTGGGATCTCTATTGCCTCCAAGAAGTGCTTCCTCTTTGTATCACTGGACAATGGGACTTATCCTCTCAGGTGTTGCTTACAGGTATAGTTTGGATTGTCTTCATTGTTATAAACCATAGCAACTTCATTTCCAGTCTGTAAGTTTAAACTGCACACTTGAGGAGGAAAGAAAAGGATGGAGAAGAGATGTAGACTTTTCTCCTTTTTGACGCCCCAAGTACAATTGAAACTTACGTTCTGGGATTGAAGGGGTTATAGTTCATTTTCTTGAAATAATATAGTATATCAGTCTATACATATGTCTTTGTTCTGTAGTTTCTGGCTGTTCTCTCCACTGGCATATGGATACACTGGAACATCACAGATGACCAACAGCACTGTGCATGGACTGAAATGGATAGAATCTTGGGAGTTTTGAAGGTACTTGTTCTCATTCATCTTGTTGATATGTGATATATGTTAATTTATTGGTGCATGAAACTGTTATTGTTAAGAGATTTACTTTTTTTGAACTCCAAGTGTTTTCAAGTATTGGAGGGTCTGTCACTCACGATGGTTGTGATGCACATAGATCTAGGCCCCAATATGGCACCCTCTCTTGTGTTCCCTTTATCTCACATTCCAGATCTTACATTCCGTCTCTGAAGTGCAGTATATAGTATATTTTCTATGTTTAAAATCGCTTTGATTTAGTTTCATATGTCTGCATTCGAGACAGCTACAATGTCTTTCTGTTGAATCTGTTTTTTATTATTATATTGAATATATTTATTGCTAAAGAAGTCCCTTCGCAAAAATGGAACTTGTAGGGTATATTCAATCCATAAGAGATGTAAAAAAGACAGGAATTCTGTAGAATTCTATAACATTTTCTCGTCGGTGCAATTATTGCCTTCAAAATGGAGGATTTTTTTAAGATTGCTTGTATCCATACAGGAAGCTGTCACAGCCCTTATGTATTGCTTACTGAAAAGCAAACAACTGGATTTTAATGACTTGCTTGTGCCAAAAGAAGGTAGTTTTTTTGTCTTTTTTTGCTGGAACTCGTAGAGAAAGAAGCATTTTGCCAATTTTGAAATACAACATGTGGTGATGCAACCTGAAATGAAGATGCAAATTCCACTTACCAGGACCTTAGACCATGATACATGGTATGTACAAACAGATTTATAACCTGACAAGTATCATAAAGTAATCCAAAAATTTCTTAGGACCTGAAGCTTGAAAACTTGTATAATCAATGTTCTGCTTCAGTGAAAAAGAATGATAATGCAAAAGGTATTGACAGCATTGTATTCCTCATTAAAGCTCAACACTCACATTTTGACTTGAGCTATGTGTTTTTATTGGATTTGTAAATGATTTAGTAAATTTCTATAAAAAATCTAGGCCTGACAGTACTGCATTTTCCCCCTTTATTCATTGTTCTTTTGTGACAATACTATAGGCCTAGAGTTATTGGCAGCACTGAATTTTTATTTTGTTAAGATGTATATAAGGATAAAAGTGGTCATCCTGTATTGAATAAAACAATATTTATTTGCAGAGGTATCATTTCAATGTCACACTCCATGCTCCAGAGGTAGATGAGACCATGTATCTCTGTGGCCTCCTTTGAAGAGTAGTTTCTTTCCCTGTTGGCTTATGGGCCCTGCCCTTGAATGTTTCATTCATTGGACAATCTGTTGTGGATGAGACTTCACTTGATTGTGTAGAATCTCTCAGATCTGGAGGTGCCTTAACTTGACCACTTCCAGGAATGACATAAGTTTCCACAGATTGCACATTCTCCTTTATCAACTGGTCAAGTGTGCCTGAAGACCTAGCTTTCTTCATTTCTTCCACAAACTTTTCTGACATCTCATACAACAACCTGGGATCTATGATTCTCCTCTTTCCACCTGGAAAAAGCACACTCCAATATGAGCTTTGTGAACATTCATTATTTCTCCCAGAGTCACAATGATTTGACCTTTCTTGACATCTACAGATTTTCTGTTTTCAGATGAATCTGCTTCAGTTGGTGCCAGTACCTCCATGGATTTCTCTGGCCACCCCAACTCTTTCAAATCTTTTCTGTGATATACACAAACATTTCACATTGACTCCATTCTTCATTTTAAAAAAAGTACACTAAGAAGTGTTGACACTCACCCTTCCAGGATCAGTTTCATGCAGTGAGAGATAGCCCTGATTCACAATGGAAGAATAACATTGTAACCCATTGCATAATTAAAATGAATCCAGAAGAAGAGAGTTAACAACTGACCAGATTCTACTCACACATGCCAATGTGACAATGTGCATATTCCAACGCTGCCCCAATCTCAGGCCTTTTCCTGCCATGTCAGCTGCAAGAATGCAGTATTCTATGCATCTACTGATAATGGTCAGGAAGGCAACCTTTTCCCCTGCAGAAAGGTGTGTTGTGTCTTCAAGCAGAGATTCATGGCCCATCATGCCCTCAAATCTCTGCAGGATCTTGCATATCTAAAAGATTATATCAAGCTGACCTCCTTTGTGATGCCTTAAAAATGACAAATAAAAATATGCTCACCATCTGAAGGTATTTGAATTCCTTGTCTCTGTGAAAGCCATACTTCATTCTATACAGAAGCCGTTTCAGAACCTCAAATTCTGTTTTAAAATGCTCCATTTTTTATTGAGTCACACCCCCCTGCGATGAAAGACTGCAGTTTCAACCAGTTCAGAAATGGCAATATAACATAAACATCTAACTACTTTCATAAAGGACAGATATCCTCTCCAAAGGTATCAATGTTGTTGAACCTTTGGGTCTCCTATTACCAGGAATAACTGACAACTCAAGGACATGAAGTTCCCAATTATGGTATTTCATATGTGAACAGAATTTTGTGTAGATCACACTGTGGGCTTAAGTGATCATCAAAGAATGTTATATTTCAAAGCACATTCCCCAAAGTATAAAACAAGGATCCAAGGCTGGATGAAAAAAATCATGAGAGAATGTAACTCTTCAGGCCAGGATCAGTCTTGGTCTTCCAAGCAACTTTCTTCTTATGCAACTGCATCAGGAATTCCTTGGCTGTTGAAAAATGGTTGATTCAGGCTAAGAATACAATGGGCCCAGAAGGAGAGAAACTATTTTGGCTGACAAAACAAGAAGCAATTTTATAACTCACAAGACTGCCGTGGTATACCTCCTCCATACAAGCGGTTAGCTCGGAAGGAACTGGCTTCCTTAGAAGTGCAATGCAGTGACTTTGGAGGCTCCAGTGGCTTCACGTAGAACATTTCTGAGGAACTACATAATTGTGACCTTAATTATGGTGAAAATATTCTAACTAGGCCATATATACTGTACACCAAATAAAATTCAATCTTACCTCTGCACAGATAAGGGGATGTAGTTATCACCAAACAAGCTTGGCTCTTCTGTTGTTTTCTTTTTTAGTATTTTCTCATTTTTCCGCTTCTCCTTTTGTCTCTCTCTTTTCTGCTGCTTTCTTTTCTCTCTCCAGGCAACGAGAGCTTGCAAATCAATCTTTTCCAGAACATCTTCTGGTAAGGTCTTTGACTTAATTGTGGGCTCTCCCTGTATAAGAGAAAAGAATGATCTCCATTTTATGGAATAGCAAATAAAACTTGTCACAGATACCACATTAGAAATGAAACTCACATGGGTACAAGTGGGAATCAGACTCTCTGATACAAATGGTGCCCCTACTTCAATTCCTATATTGCTGTCACCTGCTGATCCTTAATAGTGGGGGGGGGAGGGAAATATTTTAATACCAATGCACTCTGGGATTCAGTCTCTTGATGGTAGTAGCTATTAACTAAAGCTGTGCAAGAATATACACTGTTTTCGGATTGAATTGGTACCCCCCTACTGTGGAGAACAGAGAAAACACAAGCTTTCCAGACGATCCTCAAGATGTCAAGCCTGATGCTCCACATGGTTATTTTGATAAAAATGAAGACTATTGTCCCCATATGTCATGTATTTCAATGGGGACGTACTTTAAATACGGGTTTGCCATTTGTATTGGGGGGGGGGGGGTACCAATTCAATCCGAAAACAGTGTAACTTACTTGAGCTACACTGATCAATGGTTTCACAAATCACTTACTGATAAACCTCAAAGCAAATCATCCCTTCAGACTAGTAGTATATGCCATAGCATATGCAGAATTTTAGAAAGAGAGCTCAGCATTAAACTCAATCTCAAAAATATATTGAGGAGCACTTTGCACAACATTCATATTCATGCATATCACAAAAAATAGCAGCAGATAAGAAAATCATAATTTTAAGGATAACTCAGCTTTTTCCTGAATATGTCCAATTGCATAATTTGGAAATGCTGGAATGGACATAATGTATACATAATACAGAGAAAACTCATTAACTTGAACTTTTAGGGGCAGGAAGAATCATTTCAAGTTATCCAAAGTTTGACTTATCAGAAATTGCCTATACTATTAAAAAAAAAAACTAATGTTAAGGGATATAACCAGAGGGCGATTTTTCTGCTCTCAAGAATCCTATTTCAAGGAGCAACGACCTTCTCATTATAATTGGCTTTTATTCATCCCAAGGAAAATATTGATACTCCATATGCAAAATTCATTTATCATAACACCCTTCATCCAGTACCGTTTGAGTCTTCAGTTTCCTCTTGAGTAGGCTCATCTCAATACCAACAATGTAAAGAAACATAAAATGACTGGAATGGCAAGAAGTGAGAGCAATAGACAGGGAGAGTACTTCCTTTTACGGCGGAAGCTTTTCAGTTTTAATTCTAAGGTTTAATCCACTCCACATGCATCTGTGAGGAAGGAAGGAGTAACAGAAAAAATTGAAAAATAAACAAATGGACTTTCTCCTGAACAGGTCTCATGCCTTTCACCCATTCAGAAATCCATTAGTGTCACAAGAATACTTTTTTTCTTCCTTCACACCTGAATTTGAGTTAACCATGAGAAATTTGTAATCAGGAGTGAAAATGTGGTTCAAGATATCCAGAAATTTGAGATAAGTGAATTCAAGTAAACAGAATATTTAACTTGGTGTCCTATAGGATTCTGCCAGGACTAAGCATTAAACTTTGAGATTGGTGGAAATTAAGACTTATCAGGATTGGAGTTAACAAGTTTTCGCTGTAACTAAAGTATATCTCAAAATGGGAGAGCTTGCTTTTTTTCCTAATTTCAAACTTCTAGATGAGCAATACTTGGTGTCTCTACATTCCTTCTCTGAAAATATGACCATATCACAAGTACTGCCCATGCAATAATAAGAATTATCTCCCCACAACTAGTTGCATAACCTATATACATAACCATGAAGCCTGTGAAACTAGATTGTTGATAGACCATTGTTGCATGGTACTAAGTGTTAATGGGTTATGTGCAATTTTATTTACCCCCTCATTTCACCAGCATTGACAGCATCAGGGGAAAAACATAAACCCTGCTATGTGCTAGGCTTACTACATTATGTTCTTTTGTTGAAGATCTTCAGGTCATATATGAAAGGCTCACAAAAGCATCTTCACATGATAGATGAAATTGAAGTTGCTTCAGTTTAATGAAGTAAGTACTTTCATGGTTAACATGATGGTCCTAGAGTTTAATGTAACTTTATTCCAAAATGCTGTGCATAAGATGCATACAAGGGCACCCAGAGGGTACATCTCATTCTCATTAAGCTTTAGCATATTACACAGCTAGATTACTTCTTTTCACAAATGGTTTAAATTCTGCTCTTAACAATGAAACTGGGAAGATGACATTTTTATATTGGCAAGAGAATGGGGGTATAAGGCCCATCATCCCTTGCATATGCCACTGTTACAGACACCTATGATGGGCAAATTAAGTTCTACCAATATGTGCTGCTGATCAAAGCACCCATTAGGGTCAGACTAGGCCTATCATATGCTAAATGAAACATGAACAAGCATAGGTGTGTTTATGTAGACACATTTATGGTTAATGAAGTACTCTGAACTTTTTCTCCAAATCATGTTCATATCCACAGTTAAGCTCATTTAAATTTGGGGCAGGCAAGGAGCTCAGTTGATAATGAGCTTGGCTCCTGTGACAGAGAATCTGGGTTCAAATCAAACCAAGGTGATTATTTCCAAATGCAATCAGCATACTTATGAAGGAAGAACCCTGAACGCAAAATACTCCTGTCTCAGGAAGTGGGACGTTAAAGAATCCTGGTGGTGAAGGCCTTACTCAGGTAGCGTATCCTTGGAGTAACCGTTCCGATCAATTTGAATCTCCAAGGTTAGGGATTACTTGTGTTAGTTGTGTTGTTACAGGGCAGGAGGGTTTAAAGGTTTTAGGAGGGTTTATTGGAGGGTAGATTGGCTGGTGTACCAGAGTTAGGGCGCAATTTTGGGCCTAGTGCCTCTTGCATCTCGTACCTTATCGTAGCGTACTAACGTTTTGCTATCGCATGCCTCCGCAAAAACCAACCTGTACTTTCTCTTCTTTCTGGTATTACGCTGGCTTGAGGGGAGAGGAAAGTACGATTGATCTCTGCCTCTCGTGTGGGAGATTGCTTGTCCTCTTGGATGGATGCAGCAAAGGTGATCTTGGCCTCCTTTCTCGTCGTCTTCTCACCTTTGCCAGCGAGGCTTTTCTGTCTTGGTAGCTTCTTCTCGGGGCTCTTCTTCGTCTTAGACTCCTTCAACGACACAAGCGCAGCGTTTGGACTCTTGTAGGAACGAGCTCTCGTCTTTGAAACCATTCTTAGCGCTGGGAAGGAGGCTTGAACCCTGAATGCATAGCACGTGTCTCCATGTAACGTGCCATGCCTCAATTATGACGCATGCGCTCGTTTTCCCCAAGGTTCACTAGTACGATGTCTGGTTTCATCTGACACTGCTTCCTGTTTAGGTCTATATTGGAAGTAGCTTCTCGTGTCTTTTTCACAAAAGCAAAAGCAGGAAAGATCCATCGCTTTTGTCCACGATCCGACTGTTTTATTTCAGCTGTCGTAAGCCTCTCATTCGAGCCTTTTTTGGCGCAAGGTCAAGTGTCAGCGGATGTTATTACCAGTTTTACAATTATTACTATTATTAAGACACGTTATTATGCCTCGGAATAGTCCGTAATTAGTTTCGCCCAGAATGGACTCAACATAATGAATTCTCTCCGAACTTCGGGAAGCTGCATATAAAAGATTCGCTTACGATCGACAGGGCCACTGGCCTCATAAATCTCATCTCATCTCACTCTTTCCAAACAGATTGAATTGAAAACCCGATCGACCAGATAATCCCTCGATCATGAACGTCCAGTCGCAGTGCGATGAACCCCCGCCTCACGGAGGATACATCATTTAATGATCCCTCGTCATGCTCGACGCAAGGAGTGGCTTCCAGATTCCACGCGAATTTTCGCGGATTCTCATCCGGAGATTGAACCGGAAGGAGGAATGAAGGTTTCGAATCACGTTCCTTGCCCCTGCCCACCCTCGTCCACGTGAATGGGGCAGTGGGAAGACAAAGAGAGTTCATGGCTGGAGGGCAGGAGTTTTCTTTTTTTCTAATGCACATATCTCCTCCCATGTGAGTTTCACCTTGACACGCCTGGGCCCGCAATGCGGAGCTGGAGGCTCAGTCCGAGTCAGTCTCCTCCGTCTGGCTGCGGCTTCATTCATCTCTCTCGCTCCCCGTGTTCTCCCCTGTGAGAAATCCAGGGAAGAAAGGGAGGGAAAAGTGCGTGCGCTTCCTGCTGCGAAATAACCAGTCTCGATCCTGCAGTGAAAGTGACTTTTTTTTTCTCCTCCACTCTTTTCTGGAAAATGTGAGGGGAGAATTCCACATTTTGGTTCGTTGACGATGCAGAGAAGGAAATCCCACCCGGAGTCCTTCGTCCCTGGGTGTCGTCACTGTGGATGCACTTGCCAAAGAGACGTAAGGACCTTGTCTCTCTCTCTCTCTCTCTCTCTCTCTCTCTCGATTTTATTGCGTAATTTCTGTCAGTTTGAGTGTGTGTTCGTCGGGACAGGTTGGTATTTTATTCGTTCGTGAGTATGCTTTTCTATGTGCCCTGTTTAACCTTCCCAGAAAAGGCTCATCATTCTTTCTTAGTGGCAATCCCATCAACGGGAAGTAATTGCCTACATAATGAGCTTCTCCCTTAAAAGAGGTGTGTAGGGGGACGTGGATGGATTTCGAAACGTCGCTGCACCCGATTTGGGTCAGAACCCGTGTTTTTTTTTTTTCATTGCATTAGAGCGCGATACTGGAACGTGATATGAAGCTATCTGGAGGTACCCCGTTATATTCTTGCGCCGTCACTGTAATATACTGCGGTATTTTACCATATGGTCGTATTCTGGCTTCTGTCCAGGTCAGCAAGATTGAGCATAAATAGAAGCCTTCTTTCGATGTGACGGGGTGTTGGTATGGTTCATCGGCTTTCCGCATCCGGTCCCACCTCTCTCACACATGTGGGGATTAATCGCTCGTCTTCCGCTTCCTCTTCCCTACATTGCATTCACCATGGCCTTGCTCACGTTCCCAAAGAAATCCTTAACACTGTCGGGCCTGAGCATGATGACTCGTCATCAGGACCTGTTTTTTTCGAAAAATTAGTCTAACTACGAATCCTAAACCTGTTTCATTGCATCTCTATGATCAACCTTGTCAATCAAGATAATGACTATTAATATAATTTTGGCAAGAACTGTCTTGAATCTGATTTCGTTTGTTTTTCCAAGTGTACACTGTTTCCGGGTTGAATTCGTACCATCCCCCTATAGTGGTGAATGCAGGAAACACACATTTCCAGAGGTTTCGCCTCAGCAGGCGATAGATAAAACCACCCATGTGTAAGATGTCACTACCTGCAATCGATGGAAGCGCTCCTATAAGGGGTACGAATTCAATCTGGAAACAGTGTAGTTCGCGCAAATGGTCGTGCCCGTACAGCGCACGGGTATAGGCCTCGATGTGTTTTATCATTAGCCTAAATCGAAATCTTGATGGGTGCAGGAGCCTCTTGACCCGAGAATGTAATATGCTGTCATAATTTCATCGGTTCTGATAAGTGTTTCGGCCTCGTTCCGATGATGCATGTTTCATGCTCAGTTGCTTACACCTTCATCATTCATGCCTGAAGGTCCAGGAAGACGGAATGTGCAGCGGAGAGAGGTCGGCTTTCCCTCGGGCCAGAATCCAAGACGACTCTGATGATATCCTTTTCATCATTCCCTTTCTTTCGTTAGTGCATGATAATGGGGGCTAGCATCCTTCAAGAGATGCTCAATTATCACGGTCTGATTTTCCCCGGGATAGAAAACACGTGCGAGATTTTTCAAAATGAAGGGAGGAACGGGAACAGTCGTTACCTTGTCAGCAGAGACAGCCGTGGGAAACGGGCTGGGAAAAACGAGTGATCATTGGGAGCTAAAGGGGGGTAAAAAAAAATTGTCAGTAAATTTCTTATTTGGGTGCGCCTTCAGAGAAGTCATGATGACATTAGGTATGTACGCATTAAGTCTGTGATTGCGTAAAGCCTTGCGGGATGCATATCTGATACGTGTCTGTTTCGTACGCCTAGGTCAAGGCCTCTTGACCCCAAAAACACATGTACGGGAACTGTTTTTGGTACTTCTTCAGCATGACAATAGCTTTGATGAGATGAGACGTGAGATAGCGATGACCTTCTGTTCCCCATGTGAAATTATCAGTCGTTTCACAGCTTCAAACGTGCCAACCATCCCATCATTAGGCTCGATCCGGAACACGAACGTTGAGATCCCATCTTACCTGTTTTGTTCCTAAGTCTTCTTGGAAGGCGGGGCACGTGAATGGGATGACCTTGGAAAACCACTTCAGGGAGAATGGCCAATGCATCATGTCCCATATCCTTGGTGGTCAGTGAAAGTCTGGACACAAAAAAATGACGTCATGGAAGGAGTTCGAAGAGGCGAGAGAAGCTGCATCCAACGGGGGAAGAGTCGTTGGCTTGTAGCTGCAGAGCTCTGTATAATCTTCGACCCACTCGGGATCACCATATTCGGCATTGGACTGAGTCAACTGACTGTAATGGAGAGAGGAACGTGTGGGCCTCGCCTCAAGGACTGTCTCGTGCATGCTCGGCTCGAAATGACGAATATCTTCCCCTCCTATCCTTTGTCGATGGGTACGAGGCCACAAAGGACGTTAGTATGTAGGGTCCTTTAGTTAGCACGTAGGATGCTGGAGTCTAAGCGTATAAGAGATCTCTTGTTTGGTATTTGGGTCGAGATGCAATTCATCTCGAGGGAACGATGCAGAAGTCTGCCCTTGTTGTCCTCCGTGCCATTCACGGGAGAGGAACAGGGTTTCGTTCAACAAACATTCCTAGGGGGTGAGAGGGGAAGATTTGCATGCACGCAAAGCTGACTACGGATGACGTCTTTCTATGCCAGGATCATTAAGCACACCTTCGTTTGTCATCGGCAGAGATGTTCCCGTTATCTTATGTATAGGTGGGGGAGAGCTGTTTGGCAAGCTATTTGACAGATGAGTTCATCACCGTCACTCAAGGCAACATCCGGGTTTTGGTACTTTCTCCGAGGCATTTGAATATGAGCTGAATGACTCTTCCCTCGGGCCAATCAATCTAATTCTTGGTCTATAGGAAGCTACAGACAAAGGATATGCACTGTACAGAAAAAGTATCCCGAGGGGTAAAAAAAAGTGGTCATGGTCAACAAGAACGAACGGAGTAAAGCCCGTGAAATGCGCAGCTTGATGAAGCAGCGACTTCCTGTCTTCCTTGGCCGTTAGTGATGCAGCTTTCTATTGTGTTGCTTTTCGTAAAAAAAAAAGAAGTGGGCATAAAAAATCCCGTGAATAGTCCAGCCAAATAGTGTAAAACGGGGAGGTGACGCTGCGTGAACGGGTGGATGATCGGAGGGAAAACAGAAGCCTTGAGGCATTGCCCCGAGCTGATCCAGCCGAGTCGGTCGCCTTCACTTTTGGTTTCTCCAGTTTCTCTTTCTTTCACGGCGCCTTTCTCGTGTTTCGTCGGTTTCCTTGACGGGATCGAGTGTTGGATTACATACGTCTCAGACGGTGTTCGTCGAGCTCTCGCCACGAAGGTTTCGACCGATCCTTGTCAGGGAGGAGATCGCTTTCACCTCCACGCCAGAGGCTTCGTCATCGCTTGAATCCAACTCACGATCATTTTCCCACCCAGGTGAGTGTGCTTCCCGAGTTACGTCACTCGGGTGATGGGGTTACAGGGGAGGACGAGTGATTCGAACTCGTTCATCCTGATAAAATAAAAAAGGAAGAAAACTCGAAGATAAAGGGCTCTCATTGTCATGCTTCCCCCTCTTTGCACTGCGCATCCTTCTCTGCACATTGTCACAACAAGTTTTCAACATGTCCCCCCTGACCACGTGAACTGGTTGCATCCATAACGTTAGGCCTAGCCGAGCCAAGTTGCAAGCCTAAGCTTAGCCTAACTTAATCCTGTCTTAGGCCTAGGTGTACTGGGCATGGGTACAGAGGACCTCAAGTCTTTTTTAAACTATGTGACATTCACAAAAAATGGCAAAGTTGAATGTATTTCGTGGAGTTTGGTGGAGTTTCAAAGGGTAATCTAATAGTCATCCTAATTTGTCGACTACATTCGCATTCTGGGCAGCGTGACGCAGTGCAAAGAGCACAGGTGTGGCTTGGACCAGCATCTGGAGGGATGTCAAGATGCCTAACCAAGAACAAAAAAAAACTTGTTGTGGCAGCTTAGTCTCTCTGATTGCTCAGTACAAATGGTCCCCCTTAGAGATGGTACATTGGCCAAGCGAAAGAAGAAATGAAGCCATATTACTTCTTCAGTTGACCTCTCCTCTTCAAATATATCTTCTTTATTATTCACTTGAGTGTACAAATCCTGCATCAGAATGCTAGGCTTGATGATAGTCAATGAACAGGCCTGAGTGAAAAATTAAGCAACTTAGACAATTTCACAGTGACAAAGAAGCTGATGAAGCCCAAGAATGGTGTTTTGGAAAAATAACAAAGGCTGTTTTTTAAAATTTCTGAAAGACCAAATGGGGCTACTTCATACCTCACTGCCAGTTTCTCGTAGGCATGGCAACATTGTCCGGTTGACCTATCGTAGGCAACCTCCCTTGGAATGGACACAATGACAGGATAAGTTCAGAGGACCCACTTAGGTCCTCTGAATGCAGCTCATGTAGATATCTTGACTTCTGGTCATATTAACTCAAACCATTATCTTGTGGTTTAGGCTATTAAGAGAGACAGCCTATTTGCCTTTAACAATGTTGAATATTTTTTCCCACTCAGCTTCAGTACTATTACAAATAATTTTGACATCAGTCTGCTGCATTTCTTTTGCATGGGTGTCAAAATCAATTGAAGAATCTTCAGACTCAAGTGAAAAACACTAGTTTTAGGCCTAGGCAGCTAGTGTTGTCATGCACTCAACAAATATCAGACCTAGTCTTGAGCCATGCTTCTCTAGGTTGCATTCCATAGGACACAGCTATCATAGGTCCAGAGTTGAAATACTCTCCTTGTTGAATCACCAGGGTAAAATTTAAACTTGGCTAACTTTGGGCCTGCACCTCCTAGCTTATATTTTGCCATGGCCTAACATTAGGCCATGGCAAAATTTGAATTTATCAATTAAATATACAGTGATTTGACTTTGCACATAATTTTCTTTCATGGTGAATTTGTTGCAACATTATGTTGCCACTTCATTGGCTGCTGGCCAGAGAAAAAGCAGTCTCATTTGATTTTTAAATATTGTGGAACCATTATTTTTCAGTGAGTAAATGTGATCATTGGCATTCGTGCATCATTATTATTCAAGTTAAAGAACTTGTTTGAGGTAAGTGACAACACAGATTATGTGAGTCTCTCTAATTGCCCTTCTTCAGTGCTGGGTGATGAGCCTATACAGTCATGATTGTGTCATCTAACTGAGCAACATCTACAGTCTCAGAATAACTGCCCCTGGCTAAATTGGTGACTGAAGTGGGAGTTGGGTAATTCCTGCTTCCTTCCCACCATAGTAGGGGGACTGCAATAAATCAAAGGTTATTTTATTGTCTGGATAAGCCTGTCAATAGTGGGTGAGCCTTTGTGGTAGTAGGAAGGCTTTTTGACAGTGGGTGGCCGAGAATTATGACTTAATGACCTATGTTCATGGGACCCATGCTACATTATACAAATTCATGTTTTTTTTGTAGATCCACTTCTATTTCCCAACCAACACAAGGGTCACACTTAAGAGAAGAAAAAAAAACTATTGGGAAATGAAGACAGATTGTACATAAATGCATAGAGTAACCATTTACAATACATACAAATACAAATTTAAAAGACACTGGGAGTTCAAGGGAAAAAGGAAACAAAAAGCATGCAAAAGTACAAATCCAAAATTAACATATATAGGGTAAACACTCCAGTTTTTGGCCACTCTGATATGGCTCCCATTGTAAGTGGACACCCTGTGTGCACACCAGGAAACACTAGTAATAGGTCCTCTTATGGGGAGATGTTGATAGAATGCTTGAAATGGCCAGATTAACTAATTATACTGGATTTAAGCCTCACTGGCCAACAACTGGAGACCAGTTAGAAACCTGGGTGCTTACTCTATATGAAAGTACAAATGAAAACAAAAACAAGAGAAAGAAAGAAGTATGACAAGACCAACAGTATTGTTGAAAAAAAATTTGTCAACTTGAGCTCCCTGTGCCTGTAGCTTAACCTAGGTTGGTCTGGTTGGAAATTGATTTGTTTAACTTCAGATTCATAAAAAAATATTCTTTTATGTGTTAAACATCAACTGGAGGTGTGGTTTTTTTTTTTACTCTTCATACTTGGCTATTATAAATTTTAAAAATTATACTTTAGGCTTTTTTTTATTATCATCTTTGGTTATTGATCTGGTTTATAATGAGGAAGTATCCTAATGCCTTGTTGGTTCTAAAGACAATCTGAATGTACTGTTGGCTGGGGATATATAGGCAGTGTCCCATATACCAGTTCTTATATGCTCATCTGCCATACATGAATTGTCTTCTTTTTTCTTCCAGGCATGCACGTGCCTATACCAGCAAGACTCACCTGATTATCATCACAAAGCATCGCATGTGGAATGCATTCCAGGATCCCTCCCAATGTATGGTGATTCTCATATGTCAGGCATGGCTAGGAGACCATCGCATAGATCTACTCGTGCAGGAAGAGAGGACTTCTACCCAACTGATTATCGTTGGTTAGATGGCTCTCCTCCCAGTGAAGAAGGTCTGGAGAATGCCGATAGAGGTGTGTATCAGCATCCAACAGAGAGAAAGCAATATATTCTGTCTTCACCAGAAGGTGATCTATATTTTGTGCCTGAGTCTTACCCAGACATGGTGGAATATATTGCACAATGTCCACAACACACAAGCTACTTGCCTGGACCTGGACAAGTGCCGTTAGAAGCTAATGAGGGATACCATTATTCAGACAGTGGGATTTCTTCTCGATACACTGACTCAGTGCCCAATGAGAGCCAGACTTTGTACTGTGATGTGGAACCTGATTCCTATATGATTCCTGGGCAAGATTATTTCCTCATGAGCAATAGCTATCCTCCACAAGGTGAAGACATATACTCCAATTCAGGAGAAGCATCCCCTGTTCTTCAGACACCTGATAGCACACCAGAGAACAGGAGGGCTGGATCTAAGTTGAGCAATGCAAGCATTCATTCCAACTTCTCAGAGGACTCTCTGATGCAACAAGAAGCCTTTCCTTGTGAGCAGCCAAAGCTGCGCTATTCCCTGCCAACAATAGCTCAAGATTCACAAGAAGACATGTCTGGAAGTCAAGTTTCCAGTGAAGGGAGGCCTCTTTGCAAAGGTAAACTCTTGCTTTCCTAATGATGCTTTTCACTATATTTCATGATATCTCATGAGACTTAGTGCCTGATGATTCCATGACTAGAGGTATAAAGTCTTTATCTTCCCAGATCTTGAAATGTTGCAAATCAGTAAATCTTTCACTGTGACTATATTATTTTGTTATTAGATGTGATGCCCAATATCAGTATCAGTCTCTATAGCCTATACTTTTTTTATTTTTTTATTTTTTACAGATAATACAGTGATAGTACCCAAGGGACCAAATCGATCAACTGCTTGGTGGGAGGCAGCAGGAGATGACATGAAGACAGGGGTAAAGAAACACCCACCACTGAAGAAATTGTCTGTGGACAACTCATCAGATATAGGTCAGTATCATTTCTCGTGTTGGCCTTAAGAGACAAAACTTTACAGATTGTTGGAGGAGATTTCACACTTACTGAGAATTGAAAACCCATACTTTGGATTGCTAGAGTGATACATAAATCAAAGCTATGATTTGAATATTGCGTGATTTATTGGCTGACATTTCCTGGGATTTAAAAGTCTTCCTTGACCCTTGAAGCAGTATGAATGAATAAACATGTCATGAATACTATATTATAAATACTACTAATGTACTATAAAAATTTGCAATTTTAAAGTCCAAATGCTAAACCTGAGCAATGTTGCAAATTTTTTTCCAACATGCTGCCAAAGTTCACTCCTGTTGACCCACTCCACTTATTAAAAAAAACTCACTGCTCAAAGGGTTAATGGATTTGTCAAGTGAAATGATGATACCATAACTCCCTACCCACTCATAATGTCCTCTCAGTCAAAGATTGTATTTTGTTCACTAGATTTGATGAGGTAGTGATGATTTTATTGAAATTTTGTTTCATTTGGTGAACCAAGCATAACTTAACCTCATAAAAAAATAAATAAATATGTAGGGTATGTGAGGAAGTCACATTCCTATTACATTTTGTTTTTCCTTTTTTAAAATCAGTTTTGCAATAAAGTGGTAATTGGTGAAGGAAAAGTGTCATTAGCCATTTTTTGCAAAAGCATTGGAATGGCCTCAGTTAGCAATCCTTGGTAGAGCAAAGGTTCTTTGATTGGACCCCAATGGGGTTCTGGGTACAACCTATGGATTATGTCTGGAAGAACACCAGATCAGATTTCAAAATCTTTGCCACTATGTAGTGTATTTCTTTTCTGTGAGCTCTGACTTGGAATTCTGAATGAACATCACTTCCATCAGAACAGCGACTCTTGGTTCTCATCCAGTACTGGATGAGAACAGGAGACCTCCAACCTTTTCATCAGCAGGCAGCCTTTGTTCTTTTGAGGAGCACAAACTGATTCAGATTACTGATTAGCAGACTAGCTACATGAAAGCACCACAGCATGACTGATCAGACCATTCAGATTGTGTTATATTGCCAACTAAGCAATTGCTTGCTCAGTTGGCTCACAACAGCATTAAATAGAAGTTGCTTTGAGCCCTGTTTGCTTTCAAAGAAACATAATTGAACATTCCTTGCTTGTTGTGGTAGCCAAATACAATTTTCCCATTACTTTGAAACAACAATGTGGCCCTTTTTTGTGCTAGAATTAAGAAATCAGCAACTTTATTTTGAGACTTAACCTGGTCAAGAAACCTATGACTAAGAATCTCTAAAGAAAACTTCTGTTTTCTATTGGCATTGATGTTTTGTGGGTGGCTGCATTGACATAACACCAGACCTCATATTGCAATAGCAGCTGTGAATGTCCTTGAATTTATTGGTACCACTGTCCACAGACATCCTCCTTACAGCCCTTACTTAGCCTTGTGCAAATTTTGGGCATATCCAACACTGAAAATAAGTCTACACAGCCAGTGTTTCAACACAGATGAAGGAAAGAAATCACAGCCTACTCATTTTCCAAATTGGCTTGAATTTTACCAAAAGTATATAGCATGAGGTCAACACTTGGAAAGATCATTGCTGAAGTTCCAGGTGCTCTGCCATAGAAGATTGGACCTCAGTCAATGAATTTTTAAATATCCTCTTGTATTTCACACCTGTAAAAAATAAAACCAGAATGTATTATGAAAGTGCCTTATTCAGACACCCTGAAAATATTTAAAAAGGCCTGCAGTATATGCTTGTTGTATGCCAAGAGGCATTTGGATGTAGAAGGAGGCATCTATGAATATACTGAGCTGAAAATTTATATTCTTCAAAACATTCATTATTGCCAAAAATTCCAGTGTTACATGTTTCTGGTATCCATCTTAGAATTTCATTATTAGCTGAGTAGGCCTCCATCTTCTAAGGTGATATTTAGTTCTTGCAATGCATGAATTTGTCACATGCTAGCTGTCTAAGGTTTCTATGGTGTTTTCAATGATTGTATTTACACTGGGTTTCTTAGAGCTTTTGCTGCTGGGTTATCCCATTGGCTTACTTTGTGTTTTCAAAAGATCTGGTCAGATTTGGCTTTAGGTTGAAGCTGCACTGTGTGCAGTAAATTGGAGGAATAACAGCACATGCGAAATGAAAAAGGCCCCCCCCCCCCGGCAATCGTTGAATTGTTTGATGGGTATTAAAATCGAGTTTGGTAGATGAAATGGATGGGATCATGAATTCGCTTGCATCCAACTATCCGCGTCAGAGCGCTCTCGGTGGTCAAAAAGGAAACTCTAGTTCTAATGCTTGCCAAGAGATAGCAGACGGGGCACTCTCGACGAAGCTGCTGCTTCTCTCTCCATCCAGCGTGCGTCTCACCGTAGCCACGGTCTATGAATCGGAGAGTCAATTCCCAAAATATCTAAACGCTTTTCTCGGTGAAGAAATCGGAATTCCTAATTCCACTGAAAAAAAAAAATCATTTCAGGCATTAATCTTCCTTGGATTTGATTGTTATTCGACCATGCAGTTCTACCACTCAGTGAAAGTAGATCAAGGATGATAGATCGGTCTCTGAACCGAGACTCTGCATTCAGGAAGTGGTAGGAAAATTTCGGTCCGGGGACTGTCGATTACAGTATCAAGCTGAGTCATCTGCAGGATACTACAGCCACAACGAAGTCTTGATCTTTTCCAGGACTTCCTCGTTTTTTCCACCCCCTTTCCCCCTCGATGTGTCCTTCGAACGTGGCATGACGGTACTTGGCTCCTTGTTCCACGTGAAGCATGAAGCATAGCATCGAGTCCCTTCTGTTTCTGCTTGCTCGATGGACCTTCAACTGCCAGCGTATTCGCTCCCTCCGCTCTCTCCCGACGCCCTTTGGTGTATCTTCTCCGAAGAAGCCATTGTGCTGGGGCTGACAATTTTTTTTGTCCACTTCTTCCTGGCGTGAGAATGAAATGGATGACTCATTCTCCCGCGAGTGAGAAGAGATCGTGACGTAACTCTCTCTCTTTCTTCACGTTGAATCTGTCTGGCTACCTTGCACGCGATTTATTGCTTTTCTCATCTCATCTCGATTATGGGTCCCACAAGCACAATGCAATGCTCTTTCACCGAAGGCTGAGTTTTCAGGGCATCGGGAAGCGGAACCTTCTGTATGCATGATCTCCTGCCTTTGCTTCCTCATCCGTCACGCATGATGAACTTGGTCCTACGAGATAAATCACTATCCCACCGCTATTTTACGTTAATAATGTGATTACTTCGCAATTATGAAGGAGGAGGAATGGTTATTTGTGGATTACCACACCAGGGAGTCCTTCTCGACGAGGAAGTACATCTCTCGGAATCGTAAACCAAGTAGGCCTCCAATATACCTTTCCAATCAGACCGCATTACGGGTTCATAAAACTTCTTCCCTCTTCGGATGTCTACTTTCCCTCCCGCCCTATCTGCTCCACATCTCACATATTTGTTTTTGTCCGGTTCGTAATTTTTGTTATGATTTATCACGTCCCGGCCCAGGAAACGGGCGTGATGAATATTCTGCTTTCATTGAAAGCTCAGCCCGGAGTCCTTCGGATAGAGTCGATTCACATTGCACCGGACGTTCGAAGAGATAGAGCCACACAGGATGGATCTGCATTGAATGGTGAATGGATGAACTGGTTCTTCCATATGAAAGCGTTGTTTTAGTGGTCACATATGTACTGGCGGATCTAGTCTAGTTCCATTGTTCCAGAATGATTCCTCCTCCGATACCATAGCGTATTTTTCATCTCCGTCGCGTTTCGTAGACTGCAAAATAATGGGCGGAATATCTCATTCTCAATACCCTAGAGCCAAAAAAAATTAGAGGGAAAGAAGCGTGCATGCGGAAAAGATCGCTCTCTTTCTTTCAGGTGCGTGAAATGTGCGCATAATGACTACTCCATCCATCTACCTTTCTTTGCCTACGATTTCGCCCACATCTCTCAAGGTCGAGTCATGCATGTTTACCTTCTATGGGCTTCGAAAAGGAAAAGGTGAAGCCAAGGAACACGATGATATCTGGGCTGGACCTCTCGCCGAGAAACTCTTTAAAGGTCGTCGAACTCCACGAGATACTGAGTTAGCGTTAAATTATATGTATGCGAGTACCTTTCGTGCTTCTGTTCCATGTCTGCAGTCTGTTTCCAGTGGTGATTCGTTCGTATTGGAATGCGCTTAGGTGCATTCCAGCTGGCGTTTTTCCTTGGTTGAGTCTTTTCCATGTTCACAAATCTCTTCCTTCTGCCATCTGTTACCGGATGAAGAGGAAGATGCTTGAGTCGTACAGGTATTCCATGATCGGGTTATTGACCGTCTTATTGCGGTGACAGGGGCGGAGATAGTTGTTGGTGAGATCATATGTCTGCTCCCATACCTGTGGGCTTTTTGGACTCGCTGACCTGTGACGATGTCTCTCACCCCCGTCTTCCCCCCCCCCCCCCTTCTCTCTCGTTTTCTTTCTCCGCATGTGTTTTTTTTTATCTCTTCTCTTCATCAGCATTAGATGATGTTACATGCATTCAAAGTGGATCTTGTGGTCGATCTCTCCGTCTTACGTCGATGGAATCAGTTCAGTTAAAACAACCCGTTTCCGCTTTTTCCTCTGGATATCGGTCAGCTGAATACAAACAGGATTGATGCGCCGAGATGTTGATGGATGACTCATGAAAAGAGAACATTGATGATCCATCAGTGAAAAGGAGAAGGAGAAGGCCTTCGAAGCATGGAGTCCCGGCCACAAGTTCCACGAGTGCCCCAGTTTCTTTGGCTAGATCGCCCATTATGGAGCCTCGAGCCTGGGTTATTTTATCTGTCTGGGGGACCACGATTTCCGATTGCGTGCTGTCCTTCCCTTCCCTTCTCTCCTGTACACGCGTTACAGTAGGCCATCTCTTTTGCACAATCGGTATGTACGTGATGTAACACGCCCTTAACCGCAAAGGAAAGACCTAATTCTTTCCCATTTCCTCTACCGCTGTGTTACGCGACCAAGGCGAGAAGTGAAAATTGTCAACTCCTGTCGATGATGAATGTTTTGGGATGCGTACACGAAAGACATTTGGTATGTGTAAGCTATGCTATGTGCTTGGGTTCCAGTCCTGGGTCCCATGCTGCTTCCATAATGACTTCCGCATGCGGAGATGTTTGAATTGCGGCGTGAGAGTCGCCAGGCAGTCTTCCATGAAACTCTACTCGGTAAAGGAACAGAGCAGCGTTCCTCGTCGACCCCTCGTCCTCCTTCGCTTTCGCAATGTACGCTTGAGTTGTAACTGGTGGGAACGACCGGAGAGGAAAGTATGAAGGAATGCTTCACTTAACCCTTTAACCTCACATCACACCACATTCCTTTTTTCTTTCCCTCCTCTTTGTAGAGGAAACGAGGAGAAACCTCTCTAATCGTGTGCGCAATCAACTTTTGCCCCACGAGATGAGGTTTAACTCCTGGAAAGTGATCCAAGAGGCTATTGTTCTTTCATCTTGGTTGCAAATGCTTTTTGCCAAATGTAATAAAGGAGCAAAATTATGGTTTTTTCGCTGAGCTTGGCAAGAGCATGAGCGAGCTGAGCTGTATGTGCCAGTGATGGACAGCACCTGTTCGAATACCTGGGGAAGAAAAAAAAAAAGAAGTCCATGTTGGATGTGATAAACAGGAGGAATAAGGGAAGAGCACCCAACAGCTGGGAGAGGGGCCTGAAGAGGTGAGAGGAAACCGAGTTTCGCATGGGTGCAAGTGGTAAATGCATTGTATTATATCCGGATAGGCCTCCTTTCAATTATACTCGTGTATTCCGGGGACCGAGCGGGTGACTCACTCACTGCTCATTCGCTGCCGCGTTGGGCTGAGCGTGTAAATGCGTGGAAGTATCACTGGATAGAGTCGAGGAGAGCCCTGCCCAGCGGGGGTATCCGCCTATCCTCCGTTTCCCCTTCCTTCATTCTCCCCCTCGCCATCCCGCCATCTAGACGTGTGGGGGTTTGTTTGCCTGTGCTCGAGCTGTAGGAGGCACTTTCGTTTGGAGTCATGTTCTGAGACTGGGGATGGCATCTAAGGTGGTCGTGATGGCCCCAGATCGAAGAAATGGTTCCGTGTTCCATCCTTCGCCCCCACCCTCTTCAGGAGCTGGGGCTGGGGATGTCCGATGTCGTCGGTCTCGTCGTAGTCTCCCTGACCTCAGCACCGTTGTTCGATTCAACAAGGCTGCCCTAGGACACGCTCACAGTGCTTTCAGAATCAGAGGTAAGAACGACAAAGAAAGAAGTGAAAAAAAAAAGAACTCTTCTGTCTCGGCTCTTTTTTTCGGCCAAGGCCGGAAGAATTCCCGTCTGCTTGATCCTCATTCGATGCTGGAAGCGTTAGGCCCGAATGCTGAAACCTTGTTAACGGTCCTTTGAGAATCCATGGATTCCTGTGGAGGAAAAGAGCTCATTAGCTTGAAGCCTCCCTTTATCTCGCCTAAGTTTGTGCATTCGGGCCAAAGTCTTCAACAATTTTTCAGCATTAAGTGACGCTTTCTTGTGATTTGCGAGAACATGTTTAATCGCGTGAGTAGCTTTTTCACTAGCTAAAAACTTGCACTTTAGATTTCGGATGGAGAGGCTGGGAAAGCAGAACAGTAGTTACCTTTCACGTGTTTAAGGCACTCAAAATTTTCACAGTGTCTTCATTATGACGAAGTGTTTTGGACCTCCCATTTCCTGCCTCTTCTCATGCTTCCGTAGCTGTAATCGTAACACTAAATTCTCAAACCGTTATGAGAGTCGGAATACCAAAAGCTTGAGGCCGTAAGTAGAACAGCTTAAATAAAATCCTCACCAATTTTGAGTTCATTTCTTTCCCCTTCTCGATATCTCTGCCATTGACTGTTTAGACTGAACACTTAATTGAAGTCGTGACAGTGCTCCATGTTCGACTACATAAGTCTTTACAAGGAATGGTAGCATATGTAGCCGAAGACAACTTTCTAGAGATGGGGATGCTATATTTAATTTGTTTTGATTGATTCTTTACCAGGACTTTTTTCCCTTTACGTTTTCAACTTCCAGAACACAAACCCTGAACCCTCTTTGCATACCAGGTACAGTAATACCTCGTTATTCGTTCGAGATACGTTCCTGAAAAATCGAGCGGATTGGGACTGTATGTAAGTTGGAACATTTTACTTCTTTGCGAAGCATCTATCAATATGGACGTCTGAATGTTATGACATATGGGCCCTCCGAACTGCTAAGAATAGTGACAGATCAGACAGCGTGTGGTCTTTTATTCCAATCCCACGAGTCCAGTCACCTTGCGACGTTTCTTTCAAGTCATCGCGTGAGACAAAAATTCCACTTTGTCGAAACGCTTGAGGAATTTAAAAGACCTTTATTTTTCAGAGCGTCTGCGGAACAGACACGAAACATTCTCATGTACCTTGTTTGGGGCGGTTGAATATCCCTGTTCACTAACCAAGTGAGCTCGCTGATAATTACTCCAAACAATTGCTCCATTAAGCAGGAAAACTAGGGGTTTGTGCTCACCTACCGAAGTCACCTAGGGATTAGTTTCGCCGTCTCGTATCCTCCATTGCTTCCTGGTGAGACCTATTATCGCCTGCGCACGCAAGAAGGATAAGGAAAGGCTGATATAACGGTTTTATCGGTGTCATAGACCTAATCTCAAGATGGAGATGAAAGCTTTTGAAGACGGAAGCATTCCAGATGACTTGTGTATCGGTACTTGATTTAATGAGTCAGAATTTGTTGATCAACATGAATTCGCAAGTTTTCAATTGAGGTAACCAGGTTGTCCATGACTGCCTTGGTCATGAAGTCGCTCTAGGAGTGCAGGACGCGTTTATACCAGGACATCGTAACGTGGGATCGTTGAAACTAAGCAGCTATTCTTTGATTTCAATGTACAATGCGGACATGAAATATACTCTAAAGGAGTTGCACGTGAACGCGATTGAAGTGAATTTGCATCTATTAAAGTGTTCAAACTGGACTGGGCAGTCAGCTTATATCATGAATTCTTAGTCCTAAGTGGAGCCGCCTGGCGTGAATTTCCGCCTGGCGTTTCCTTAGTAGATAGACTCGAAACTTGACTTCCGTCTTTTCTCACATGACACGGCATGTCACGACGAAGACCTATCTCATGCTGAATCTTCCTTTCTCTTTTATCTCGCTGCACGCAATGTCTCCAGCCGAAATCGTTTCCCTCGTTCGAAATCATGTGTCTGCACGCTTGACATTCTTAAAAGGTATGTTTTGAGAGAGAGTGAGTTAAGATAATTATGATGTTGCTGGTGAAGCAGGAACTCTTGTCTGCTTTCTCGAAGTGCACTAGGATTGAGGTTTCCTTTTCGTTGACCAGTATGATGCAATAAAAACAGTCCATTGAATAGAGGTTGCAGAGGATGATCAATGCGAGGCGTATGCTGAATCATCCCGGCTTGGACTTGGATGACTCAGTCCATCAGTCAGTCCTTGTGTGGACTCAATCAGTAGGCGGGGGGAAAAAAAACTAGAGGAAATCCAACCGAAACCCTCATGTCCGTTAATTTTTCTATCCAAGTCCTTCACGGTGATAATGCGTGCGGTTTTTTACCCGCTCCGGCTCACACGATATCCTGGTAGGTTCCCCTGTATGATTTCTCCTGTTTGGCTTCTCGTTTCCAGTCCTCAGAGTCTGACCTGGCTTCTAGACGAAAAAACAATATTAGAAAATAATGCATTTCCGTGGAGATTATGATATGAAAGCCAGAAAGATAGGCACACCCTCTTTTATGATTATGCTGGTCCCGTTCCGTGCCGGTTTGTACCATTATCGTGTCACTGTGTACTGTTATTATTTCTCTCTGGAAACGGTATCATTCCTTCTTTCCTTTTCGGCCTCGTCATTCTTTCCGACATCTGCATTGCGTTTTCATACGCCAAGGATCTCTTGGCAAGCTCCAAACGAGAGTTGGTTGAAGGAAGATGCTCTACTTGCAATGGTACTACGTCTTGCCCTTTGCTAGTACTCTCTCGTTCGTAATCACCATCGCCTGTATTTATTATTTACTTGAAAGGGTAGGGCGACAGCAGGCTCGATTACGAGTAAGGGTATTCCTTAGGCAAGGCCTCTGTATAACCAGACTCTGCAGAGAAAGTCTGTATATTTCATTTTTTCCCTTTTGCGGCGTGGGAAAGAGTTGGCAGCATTTCACGGCGAGATGGCGCAAACCTCCATACAGTTCTTTTTTCTTGCATTTTCATTGAATTTCCTCGCAGCGCAATTACGTAGCGTTTTTCTTTGCCTGGGAAAGAGGAAAAAGTCGGTAATGATCTCATTAAGTTGACAGGAGTGGAGGTTCTGTGTACCCATGCCTGTGGCTAAATATCGCCTTGGGTCCTGACTAATTCCCTGATTCTCTCCCGAGTGTGCTTCAATTTATTCCCTGCTGTGTGACAGGCTACCATTTCTCATTCGACTGCTTTGTACCTACACGTATATACTACATGGTGGTGATGATGAATGAATGAATGAGAGGATGCACTTTACTCTGCATTCCTCTGCGTCACGTCCTGCAGAAGAAGCAGAGCCCATGCATTCCAACCCGAGGAATGTTTCATCTCCCTCTGAGATCGATGGAATGACCATTAGGCATGCAATCTATGTCCTGCGGTTCATGTCTGTGGCTAGGTACGTTCTTGCCTGGCGTTTTCGACGATCTCGAGCCCCTCTGTGACTGGGGTGCGGAAAGGGCTCTTTGCAGGATTTTTCTGTGATTTCTCTTTCCCTCTCCAGGGCGAGCGGGTATCGATTTTCCCTTACTTCCCTCCCCTCGCTCCCTCCTAGGCCCTTCGATTCTAGGACCAGCTGAGCGTCGGTCTTGGGACATCTCAGTCTTGTTTCCTCCCCCATTGCCAAAAGCCGTGCTCTTGTGAGCGTGCCAGCCCTGGATTTTTCTTCTCATTTTTTCGAAGTACCGTCTTGCATGCGCGGACAGATCTGGTTTCGGGCCTTTTCTTCTTTCTACGTGATCGGTGAAGAGGTTGACCTCTTTTCTTTGCTTCCCTTCCGCAGTCTGGCTTGTGTGCTGCTGTTGACTCTAACGGTGTCGGACTTCTCCCTTCCCAGGCTTACGCGAAATTGGTAGAGGGGGGAAACAAGTGACAGGCATTTTGTCTGTTCGTGATGGATCGGGGGAATCGAACTCCATGATCGCGTGAGAATTTTTTTTCCATACCAGGTGATCTCTGACCCCTTTCCTCTATTCCATTTCTCTTTCCCTCTCTTCTCTCGTGAACTTTATGATGTGACGTGCTCTCTCTTCTCTATCCTCTCGTCACGCCCCCATGGTCAGCGGCACTCAACTGAAGCGGATAAAAATAAGGGAGGAAAAAAACCTCTCCGGCTGACGAAGGACCGGAGCAGGCTCTGGAAATCCTCTAGTGCGAAAAGAGGCAGAGATTACAAATAGATGTGGAATGTGGTCGATATGTCTGCCTCGCTGGCTACCCATTCGCCAATCGGGGAAACTCGTGTGAAGGACTTTCACGGTTTTCTTCCTGGAAGAAATACTTCAGTACCGTCTCACGTAGAGAGAAACGGAGGCGACCGCTTTTACTGAAAATGAAATAGGGGTTATGCGTCCAATGCCCCCGGCCGTAAAGGAAAGGAAAGTGGAATTCCTTACACGACCGAGATCTAGGTCCACTTTGAGGAAAAGTGTCGTATAGTCCGATATTTAAGCTGGCTTGGGGCTATGAAGCCATCGTCGTCGAAACAGACACGTCCTCATTCCGGCGACCTTTCCACGTCGGATAGGAGGAAGGGCTTGGCAGTTGACCCGGAGCGACCTCTATCTTCCATGCTTCTTTCTTTTATTCTTTTTTTCTCTCTGCGAGATTGAGGAGCCAGGAGAAAAAAATCCCTCGAGCTGAACCTCGACTCCATGCTCCTGAATAAATCATGCTGGATAGGCCTACTTCACCTGTCCTTGGCACGAGATTATTTTGTTGACGAGAGGAAAGAGCCACACCCTCTCACAGAGGCGTATGGGTCTTGTCATAGAATTAATGAATGCTTGAAATTATGCAGCATTGACTATACAGAAGGAATGTTTAGTCGTTTTGGTTTGGTAACATAGGGATATCGTTGTATGCGGATCTGAACGAAAATTCTCTGGAGCAAGTGGAGCGGGTCGGATAGAGAGAATGTTTCGCTCCCTGACTTCCACACACTTAAGTCACGGGGACAGGTTTTTTGATCTACACTCGTTGGAGCTGAGGTCATACCTTGTAGACTCGTAGATATTGGAGAAGGGACGCATGCGGAATTCCCCCCACCTGTCCTGCGGATATTCGTTATGCTGCACGTCCTGTTCTCAGTCCCCCGATCTAGCCACCCCACTCTAGAATATATATCATCGATCCAACGGCATTTCCGAGCGGAGTGTGAGTTTGGGTGCGTTGTTGGCTGTCATGGCAGCAGCGTGGGGTTTCTTCCTTCCCCCCTCTACCCCGCTCTTACATTGTGCATGGACTTTCACAGGTACTTGCGTAACTTTATATGCCGTGTAGTCGTTGATCTTCACGCTGTGTGGAGTTATTGTTTCTTGTTCCCTCTTTCCTCGCCTTGTGTAAGCATAGACGCGTACGTATGTCCATGCATGTATCTCTAAGCCCAGAAAGGCGCATGGAGTGATTCCCTGGATCCGATCCAAGGTCGCAATTCTTCCCTTCGACTCTTTGGGGCCTGGGCGTTCCTTTCTTCTCCTCCGTCCATGCCACTCCTTTTTTCAAGATCATCTCTGTCCAGGATATATCTGGGCGTGGGAGGCTTTATTATTGATGACTGGATCTGCATACTTTTCCTTCGAGGGGTCATACCCTGTGAAACACTGACGGTCCCTTTTGTTCGCAGCTGTGTGAATTTTAGTCACCAATTGAACGTTGCGCAAGATTCCACTGTGTCATGGCCAATATAACTGGTTCACCCTCGCACTTCCTGTCGTGGAGGAGAAGGCATGAGTCCGAAGTCCTTGCTCTTCTCATTTTAGGATCTGCGGACGTGTGGCTTCCATGGACCCGTCGTGCTTTTTTCATGGTGAAGGTGTGAATGGGTGTGCACTTCCCTCCATGGGCCTCTGTTGTGAACGGCTAACGATGCACGACCTCCTTACGGTCCTCCTCTTTTCCACCGAAGACGGGAGGGGTAAAACAATTTTGGTTAACTAGTCAGCCCTGTTCTGTACCCATGCAAAGAGCGGAAGTCGATAGAGAAACCCTCTAGGTCGACGTGTGAAGTCGATTGCGTGTATGAGACGTATCGTGACAGTGCAGTGTAAATTGCTCCTCTCCATCTCCTGCTGGAAAGTAGTTTATGCGGTGATCCATAACCCAAGGCTTTTACCAAAGAGTACGAATCTTTTTTTTTTTTTTCCTCTGCCCCAGGGACCACTTAGTGACTCTTCGTATTCATCTTTTCAACACGAACACTTCTTTGGGAATGACAGGTTGTGAAGTGGTGAAACTAAGTCACTGGATCTACCGATTCTAGGCCTAGAGATTTAAAACATGCAGCCCTTGATAAGTCATGCATCGCGTTTTTCTCATACGAATTTTTTTTCAGTTAAAACAATTTCAGTGATAAGTGCACAAAATTATGGAAATTTCATTACTGTTTAGTGTGACTTTTGTAAATCGGAAGTTGTCTGAGGAAATGTATTGCCTGATTATTGCCGAAGGGAAAGTGCTAATACCGAGGAACATCAAGTACTATAACCATGCATTACCCTCTAAGGAAAAATAGGACTAAGAATAATTTTTTGAAAGGTAATGCTTCTGACTGTTATTAAACGAAATAATGGTGTCGAAGATGTCTGTACATGCTGTCTGCACGTTTATTGACATCTTTGTTTAAATATTGAATGAGCTGTGCAAAGAATGTGAGCCGTCAGATTTTAAAAACAAATTGCAGATGCCCTGCTTAAAATTAGGATAAGCCGAAGTAACTCCAGGAAAGTTAGACTTGAAAAATTCGTTTCAAGCTTGCTACTAACTGCTGTAGCTCCTTAACTAAACCCAACTTAACTTAAGAGTGACACAAAATTATAAGTAGTAATTCCTGTATAAGGATGCAAAGCTACTGGATGCAAAGCAAACTGGAAAATTATTGGGAAGCTATGAGGCTAGATTACTTTAACTTGGGTTGAGGAAAAGCTCTGGCCTTCGAACAATCTTGGATGGTTTCCTAATGAGGATGGGCCATTCCGAACGCGTCATCGCGCGTAGGCGTGAAGTTTCGGGAAAATGCTGTCCATCAACGTCTATAGCGCAACAAAGCAACGGGAGACATTGCCCGCCTGCCAGAGTCAGGACATCCAAGGGTCACAATGGTCACAGATGATCGAGCGCTACGGATTTTTTCTTTCCGAAAGCGCACGGCGATCATTCCTCGATACAGCAGTACTTGAATGACATTAAACGTGTCTGACCATTTTTAGAAGACTTCAGGATAGTGAGTGGAATGCCGACGACCGACGCGCGTCCTGCTTCGACCAAGCGCCACCGCCACGTTATCCTTGCCCTGTAATTCCCATCAGACTTTTTGACTTTACGGGACTGGGATTTAGTGGTTTTTACGGATGACAACCTTTTTCTCTTAAGGGAGAACGACAGTAGGGGCTGGGTAGAAAGCAGCCAAATGAGCCCATTTCCCCACATGTTTGAAGCCAACTGTAAAATTTGGAGGAAAGAGAGGGATGATGTGGGGGTGCATGTCAATGCGGGGCCTGTGTTTTTCTAGGTGATTAAAAGGTACGGTCGGTGGCAAGGAGTACAACCGCATTTTGGACAACTTCCTCATTCCATCTGCTCAGCTCCTTTGATATGGGAGATTTTGTTGTTGTTGAGATTCCATTGGTCTTCTGGGCTACTTGTTTCTTGACCAGGGGTGCACAACATACGGCCCGCGAGGCCCTTGCTCGCGGCCCGCCATGACTGGTGGTGTTTTAAGTTCTACTATGGCTCCTGCCCTGTTGGCCACAGCTATGATCAGCCAGGCTGCGGCCCACGGTATGTGAATAAAAATCGTAAATGGCCCTCAGTCTTTTTTGAGTTGTGCACCCTTGTTCTAGACCGATTTTTTTTTCTCTCTCTCAACCAGTTTGAGACATTTGATGAACGCCCAATCATCTATATGTCTGTTTCTGAAAGTGATTTGCGAAAAAATTGACTGACGGTACCATCGACATATAAAATTTGTCACTTAAGCTGCATGCTTAGAGAAAATGGAGTGCCAGGAAGATATGAACCAGATATTCCAGATAGAAAAATATGCTTGGAAGCGACAAGACTTCGGTCTCTCGCCTTTTCCTGGCTATCTGTAGCCATTGTCGGTAGGCTGATAAAGGTCTTACGGAGAGCTATGTTGAGATAGTCGTGAAATACCGGGTGGCGTAAAAAACTCCTCGTGTTAGACGCCTTATAAAAAAATCCGTTGTGGATGATCTAGGTTCTTGATATTTTCATAATACGTTGGAAACACCACAAAATTTGTTTTCTGAAAGTTTCATGAACCTAAGTCGTCTGAATAATTATCGACAGTCGCTCAAAGTGGAGTCATAAAATGGACCTTTCCGCCCACGAGGTGGATGGAGTTTCAGGACTGCTCGAATGATTTCTCTCCCGTGAGGTTATGAATACCGCTTTTTACGCCAGTTCTCATCGTAGTATTCTGCGTGGTATCGATTCTGATGCTACGACGTACGACAGTAGTACTATTCTACGATGTGTTGAATACTACGATGAGAACTGGCATAATAATCGGTATTAATGACGTCAAGGTAGAGAAATCATTCGAGCGATCCTGAAACTCCATCCTCCTCGTGCGCGGAAAGGTCCATTTTATGACACTATTTTGGGCGACTGTCTATATTTATTCAGACGACTTAGGTTCATGAAGCTTTCAGAAAACAAATTTTGTGGTGTTTCCAACGCAATATGAAAATATCACGAACCTAGATCATCCACAACGGATTTTATAAGGCGTCAAACACGACGCGTTTTTTTTTTTTTTTGCGCCACCCGGTATGTAGGGGTGGATTTCATAGACGCTATCTCTAATTATTTTCTACGTCCACCCACGTTTGCGCTGAGGAGTGAGAGGGAATTTATTCAGCGTTCTCCCCTTTTTATAGATGGGAAAGGTGTAGTTCGTGGGAAAGTGAGGAAAGGAACGAGTCGATACATGGAGGAAATGCCGTTGAAGGAAGACGAAGAAGAGATGGAGATGGAAAGAGGTTCCACAAGTCTTCCAACCCCGAATATGAACGAAGGCCAAGGTTCATTGCATGAAGGGAAGAAGCCTTCACCGACGGCCTTCACCGTGGACATCGGCGCAGAAGGCCCTACTAAAAAGTTGGATCTCGGCGACAGTATTAGCAAGTTCGTGCCCAAGCATCGTCGGACTCTCAGCTCAAACCGACCCGAAGACAAGGTGAAAAAAATAAGTCTAAGTTTTCATTCCCTCCCTCTCTTTGTTTTATATTTGGAGCGATTGAATTGAGCAAATGAACATTAGGAGGAGGAGAAGGAAGAGGGCACAAGTTGGTTGGAGCCACTCAGATCCCCATCTGTGGGAAGAAAGAAGATTTCTCCTGCCTCAAAATCACCTCCATCTACTCAAGTCAAAGCAGTTCCTGTCCTCAAAACAAGGAAGAATGAATCCCCTCTGGAGACCAGAAGCACCAGAAAACCACCCATTAGAGGTGAGGAATGATTCTTGAAAATATTTAATTATTTCTAAGGCCTTAAACTTTAATTTTTTTAAAGTTTCTTAAGCATTTAAGTCTTACTGTAGATAGTGACATTTTGAACCGTGGTGTGAACTAATAATTTAGTCAGCATTTGTAGGTTTTAACCATAAATGAAACTTTGTTTTCTCTCTAGAGTCCAAGTCAGTAGACGATGGACATGGGAAGGGAAAACCTGTTCAGCATAAGGACAAGAAACTGCCAAAGACTCCAAGTGGAAAAGGAGGGAAGCAGGGTGGAGATACTGTTAATGGAGTGCCTCCATTGAATGAATCAGCATCTTATTTGATCAACCGGATGCTAAACAGCATGCCTGATGGTGATGCAATGTACAGTGATGACCTGGATGCATTTGTGACTGCCAAATGTGCTGAGGTCCCACATTCACCCAAGAAGACCAGTATAGCAGAGACTTTTGTGATTGACTGCAAGGCCTGTCCAATCAGTGGTGAACTTTTGCTAAATCTGAAAGAAGTGCCTGTGGAAGAGGAAGTCAAAGAAGTGGATAATGTGAGCGAGGCAGGGACTTATACAATTGAGAAGGATGAGAATTGCCCTGATGAAGAGGAAGCTCGCAAGGACATTGACAAGGTTTTTGGTGTGGGCGATGAGGGAGAAGACCTTGATGATACTGTGATCCCTGAGGAACCTCTTGAAGTTGCACTCAATCTTACTTTTGTGAGTGCTCTTTAAACTTTTATCTGAGTAGTCTCCTATTGGGCACAATCCTCTTCTAATTTTATCTGTTTGCATTCCTGGGACACTGATAAGGAGTCCCCTGTTTTATGGAACATGTCCTCCATGACTTGTATACTCTCATGGAAGGGATTCTTTGTATCACACTTCATTCCATTGTGATGTGAGGGATTGAATGGATGTAAGCATGAGTGGGAGGACATTATCAGATCAGTTTCCCTTACATGGGTGGAGAATTGGGGTTTGTGTGCCTTTGTCATACAATGCAGTGTGTGGAAATGGGCTTGGCTCCTACAAATGAGTATGATGAATGACTGATGAGGACTCTTTCATCCAGCAGGTGAAGGAAAAGGATGCCCATCTACAGGACCGTCGTCGTCCCAAGACTCTGCACCTAAGTTCCTCTCCACCTCAGGGCAAAAGTCAGGCTCTTCTTCTGAGATACCTGAATGTGTGAAAGTGAATGTTACAAGTTGCATGCTCCCTTTTTTTTTCAGTGAGTCCCCCAAGTCAGAGTAGTCCATCATCCTCACCAACAAGCAAGGATCGGTCTGTGACATCCCCTTCAAAGCTCTCTTCTAGTCAGGAGAGTCAATCCCGTCCACGCCGTCTCCTTCCCACACCCCCTGCCCCAAAGAATGGCATCCCCAATGTAGCTGGCTTGGTTGCTTCTGCTGTGGCTGAGTCCAAGAGGAAAGAATCTTCTTATGCTCCTGTGAGTCTCTGTTAACTTCCATACTCATGATGATTGACAGAATTAGTTGACCTTCTTGAAATGTTTTAATCATGGATGTATGTCATAAGTATGACTAGTGTAATTTTGTTGCTATGTGCAGGGTAATGATTCTGCAAGGTTTAGATACCTAAGTTTGATGAAATGAGAAAACTTGTTTTAACAGGGACAGCATAGTGATAGCAGCCTGGAAACGGAGTCCTATCTGCGTGATACTGAGTCTGTGGTGACAGCAATGCAGGCTCGTGTTGAAGGTCGGAGTGTGGATCACAATGCCAAGGAAACTAAGGTCACACTGGCCCCCAAATCAGCCAGTGCTCAGCATGGAGCCACAAACACTGTGGAATCCCATAAACCTGTTGCTAGGGTTACAAAAGGCCACATCCATGCAAATCCAGCTGTGGATACTGACCATAGCAAGAGTTCAAGTCCATACAGTCGAGAGTGTTCTGTCTCAGACAGTGGGAGTGTCCATAGTGATAGCAGCAGCGGATTGAGTGAAAGCCTCCGGGCTGGTTCCGGGACTGATGCTCATAGCAACCGATATAATCGGGCTTACAAGTTAGTTCTGCTGGTCATTACACAAAAATTAACTTTAAAATTTTGGATCTTGGACTGATGATATTTGTTGCAGGCTGCGGAAGGCTCAAACTACATATGACTCAGAGGGTGGAGCAGGAGGGAGAACACGGGTGGCAGAGAAGAAGTCCAAGACCTCATTAGGACCAGATCGAAAGTCCAATGGCTCTGGAAGCGTGGGACTGAGTCAAAGCAGTGTTAGTAGTGATGCAGCTGCCAAAGGGACATCCACTGGGTTTGGCAGGAATGATGGTGGAAGATTCAGCCTCAGGCTCAAAAGCATCCCAGTAAGTCAGATTAGAAGCAATGACTGTGTACTCTGTTGGAAATTCTGTCAGATGGATCTTGAGTTTGATGGATCTTCATGCATCAGCTATCCTTAGATTGTGTGGAACCTAGGACTGCCGATGTATGGGTTGTGGACATTGTGGTATCTGAGTCATTGTGTCATGCTGTGAAAGACTAAAAGGTTATTATTGAAGGTCAGGTCAGTCATGCCTGTCAGCATGACTGAGCTGAATTTCTGTCTTTCTTTCTACAGGACTACTTCCTCTGTTTTTGTGCACCAATGCTTAGTTTTTTTGTTATATCACTCTGAACTTTATAGGCTGACAGTGTTCCAAAACATAATCCTATGAGGTGCGAAGCTGATCTTGGACATATTTTTTTTTGTTTTTTTTTGTTACTTCATTCACATTTTACAAATGAGGCAGATGGTTGTGTGATGGTTCACAAGTGCATTATATGGTGATCTTTGGATGCAGGGTATACCAGCGAAAGGCAGCAAACCACCATCAGCTCGCAAAGCTCCATCTCAGGCAGCCACCAAGCCCCCAGTGCCCTCAAGCAAGGAGGAGGAATTTAAAAATTGGCAGAGGAGGAAAAAATATGACCCACTGAAGGCAGCAGCAGAAGGGAGAAAGAAGGAAGCTGCAAAGCGCAATCTGAAGGATGGATCTGATCCCATGACACAGTCTGCTCATGGAGCTCTGCCAAATGGAACTGTGAATGGGTACGTAAGTGGATGCCTTCCATGTTTCGTCCACTTGTTGTTTTTACCTCACTACTGTCTGCTTCATTCATTGATTACACTATGCTATTTTTTCTAATCCTATTTCTTAAAGGCTAGTGAGCCATTACTGTTAGCAATCTTAGTTTAATAGCCACTTTTGTGAGTTCTTGCTTCATACTGCCCATTGTAAATACATTCCAAGTCCCAACATCCCACATCCACTCCCTGGATGCATTTAATTGGGGGTTGTGCTAGATTTCTTGCTGTAGGGGCCTCCAGGACCCTCAGGTCTGATATGGAAGGGTCCCCTGATAATTAAAGGGGTTACTTTCCTAGTGAAGCATGAGGGAATGTTGAAGGGTTCTCGAAAGTAAAAGTCCTGCAATCCAGCAGTCTTGGGCCTTCTGCCTGTGCATCCCGGAGGTCCTGAGATCCCTGGGACCCATGGGCAGGAGGCCAGGGAAAGAAACTTCTCTGATGTAATCATTTGTTTTGCTCCTGATCTGCCCTTGAGGGACATGCCAAAGATATTCTATGGCCTGTGGCTAGCTAACCAATGAGCCTGATTGTTACACCATGACAGAGTTAAACACTCCCAGAAACATCAACATGGAAATGATCACAACAATGGAACACCAACAATTATGTCTCCACGGGTGTTTCGTGGCAATTGTGTTGGAATGTGATTGCAAAACAGAACATTTCAAATTATAAACTCACATTTTTAGAGTTATCTCTCCACCTTCACCTATGGGCATGAATTTTGTGTAATGACTTAAAGAATCAGATAATATTATACAAGATACATGTCATGGATTATGATGCCATGTGTAGTGCTAGGATATGTGAGAGTCCCTGACTGATCTCCGGATCAAATATCTCAAATCTAACAGTTCAGACATGTCTGCTGCATGCCCCTTGGGAGACTTCTAAAAGGAGTTTCTCAGTCCAAGAAAACCAGTCGGTAGACCTCCTGCAAAGTGAAGCAAATATTACAAGGAATGATCAAAAAGTTCAGGGACTGAATTTTTTAATATGCTGTGGTGACACTTTCCAATTACTGATGGTTATAGAATGCCTTTGAATGCCTGAAATATTCATTTCCACATGCTCTTTAGCTTAGGGGGAAAAAAGTAAAATCCTAGGAGCTAGCTCCATTGAGTTGGGTGGCTTATGAAGCACAGGGATTGGGGGATAGGTCAGAAATCACTGAAATTGGAAAATGAAGGAAATTTCAGGACATTTAAAGCAGCTTTACTAGTGCACCACAAGTTCTGCTGGTGATTACAAAAAACGCATGTTAGCAATTATTTCAGCAGCAGAAGAAGAAATTCCAAAAAATTTGTGCAGATGCTGAAGAGGACTACTTTGAAGGATATATCCATCAGTAGTTGGAAAGAGTCACCATGGCAACATAAAAAATTCATTCCCAAAACTTTTTGATCACCCCTCATATAATGGAGCTTTGTTATGAGTGACTCAGCAGCCCACCTGCCAAGCTTGGTTCTGTTGTATAGCATCAATAATATTGGGAGATATTTCTTGACTTGCTAAAACTGTTATCTCAAGTTGGGATGTGCAGTCAACAAAATATTTTGGCTGAGGTGAAAAGGTGCAGAATGCCAAAAATTTTGAAGAAAATAAATTTTATGTCTGCATGCCTAATGGATCAAATAGCACTCCAAAGGAAATCATGGTTCCTTCAATTTCTTTGTAGCTCCCCATTCGTCTTGAGCAAGTCAGCTTCATTCCATGGCCAGGAGCAAGGAGTGACGATTATTTCAAGATCAATTCGTCACAGACAGCCTGCAATCCCAGAAGTCTCCTCAGTTTCTCCATCACCCCCTCCTCCCAATTATCCTCATCAAATCCCTGAGCCTCAGACTGGCCATGATATCATGGTTAGTCGAAGCATGTCCCATGTCCCTGCATCCTTCCACAACCAGAGGCACGTACCATCCCCTGTGTCTGAAGACTATGATGAACCCTTCTGTGATACCCCAAGTCCTACTAGAAAGGTATTTATTGCATGCATAGATTAGACAATGTTTTGGAAGGTACATCATCTCAACATTGCACCCCCTCTCATAATGATGTGCCAAATCCACTTCACCCACTGCTACGGTTCATACTTGTTATTAGACAGAAACCTCCTTAAATCTCAAAAGTTTTTGCTGGTGTGGAGTGAAATTAGATTGTCTCAAGGGATAGAAACTGGGAAAGTAAAGTGTAAGCAGTGCAACTGCAACACAGGATGGAAATTTAAATTTTAAAGAATGAGTTGTGGGATCTAGGTGGCCCAATACTATAAATCATCAGAATTTCCCATGAAAAAAGAATTGGAGAGAAGTTCAGTTAGCTGTTGTAGGCATTCCTACCCTCTGTTTTCAGTAGCATGAAGTATTTGTGGGAGGAAGGGTAAAATGTGAAAGGTGAAAGAGGTGTTGGCATACTTTGATTTTGGCCTTTGTGGGTTCCTACTGTAAGCCCCAGCTTATGGTAGCATGATATGTAGCTCTTTATTTTCTTTCTCATGCAAATTTGAATGTGATGACTGTTACAATGAATACTGTCATGCCTAGTAGTATCTCATAAGCTGCATTGTCTTGAATAAATGCAAAGTAATCAACTTCTGTATAGGCTTTATGTGCCTTGCCTTGTTGCTTGCATGTGAACGCCTCAAAAGTCAGAAATTTCCTTTGCCCATGATCAACTATTAACTCTTCACAGTATTGGAGAACACCTAGGACACGTGACTCAAAGCAGGTGCACACAGGAGATGAATAATGACTCAGGTTCATGGGTTGGATAGCCGAGAATCATTTTTGACCATATTGACTGCCATGATCAGAATGCAATTGCTGATGTGGGAATACTTATTGTCACCTTCACCTCTTTCTATCTTGACCCTTGAGTGATGATCTAGGTCCCAACTATATGCGCCTAGTACTCTGTACCTCTATTTGGATGCAGACTAAATAGTGATTGTTGGCTGCAGAGCCAAGTGGGTGGAGGTAAAAGGCTGGAGCTAATGAATCTCCTGTTGAAAAAACAATTGCAAGAGATTGAGGGAAACTGCCTTGTACTTCTTGTCCTTGGCCTTCTTAGCTCAGTGGTTGGGTGCAACTCTGTTGAAATGGTACTTTATTAAATATATATTCATGTTCTGGGCCATTCAGGTATCCATGGATGAAGGAGTGCCAAGAAGTCCTGTGAGCGGGAGGCATGTACCAGGATCCCCTATCATGGGTCACAGAAACAAGGGAGGAAAACTGGAAGCATTGGACTCCCTTGTTATATCAACAATTTCTTCCCTTTCAACGAAACTGGTTGGCAGTGCCCAGGGCCTTCTGGAGAAGCTCAAGTCAGTCTTTCCCATCTCTCACTGTGATCTAGCAGATGTCATTCCAAGTGGATTCATGCTTGTATTTGCATTCATGTTACAGAAATCAATTGAGTGATGAGACAGATGTGGCAAGCAAGATTGAAGATCTGTTGGTACAGCTGGAGGCACAAATGCAGCCTGGTGCTCTGCAGGGTCAGGGTAGCCCCAGTCCAGTTGAAGGATATTCAAACAATTCAAGAGGTAGTAGTTCATCGGCTCGAACTTTGTCTCGTGACCTCTCTGGCACCCTCAAGAACCTCAAGAGGCTACAACAAGCCTTAGCTGGTTAGCTCAAAAACAGTAAATTATCTTACTCATAATATAATTTTTATGGCATGATATATGCCTTTGATTTCAGTTGTGGATGAGGTGCTGAGTATGGACCCAACAGCAGATGATGACCTGGTCCAAGCCAGCTTTAATGGATACCATTCCACGGGGCCTTATCACTAATCCCCCAGAGTTCTTTCACCGCCTTTATTGCCAATATCCTTGGCCCATTTTCCCTGTTTCTATTTTTTCATAATCATCATGATTCTCAATGAGCGAGGTTTGTGTTGTGATGGTCTCAGTGAGATTTCTTTACACTTTTTTCCATACTTTGTGGATGCCCACTACCCAATCTCCTGTGCCCTGCCACATGAGGGGGGACACCCTTTTCAATGTGTTAATCCACTAGAGGATGAGAGAGTTGCTTTCCTCTCTACTAGTCATGTCAGAAAGGAAATCTTTGTGCAGACCCAAGACTTCAAGAAGTTATCCTAGCATTGACTCCTTGCACATTCCAGCCTCATCTTGTCCATGTCTGAGAGCTTTCACAATTCAACATATTTTTGTGTTCTTTTCTATTCGATCTGCTGGTCCTGAGGTCCACTCCCATTTGTGCAATCAGTCTGCACACAAGGAGAATGATTTGGATTGCAGGTTGTATCAGATTCAGAACTGATCCTTCTCTTGCTATTGTTGCTCAGTGCCATACATGTGATGAGACAGAGAATCCTGTTCAAGAATGCTTTCTAATGCCTCTGCTGATGTTAGAGTATCCTGAAACCCCCCAAAAGAACTCAAAACCTCTTATTCAAAACCCTCTGCTTCATGTTTGAATCTTCTTAATTTATTACTATGGTCTCTGTTTTCAATCTGAGGAGAGAGAATAAAAGTATATAAGGAGAAACGATGAAAGTTGCAGGATTTTCCTTTTCAGCCATCTCTGCTCTTGATGGATGCCATTTGGAAAACTAAGATGTTTACATGAGAACTATCTGACATGATCACCAATGGTAGTCAAAAGAAAGCAAGGTCAGCATAGACTTGCAGACATGTTAGTGCCTCCCAAGTTTTTGAGTTCTCACTGCTTAAATTGGCCATCACATGTACCAGTAAGCTGGCAGGAAAGGAAATTAGAACTAGCAGTAGTACCACCTGTCCTGAGAAGGTAATCTCCTTTAATCACTGAATCAAAGAGCCATGGCTTGTTCAATGAAAAGTAAATGCCATGTATTTTGAAAAAGGACTTTCTAAAAGGTTAATTACATAAACTTTTTAGAGATCACAATGAATCTGCTTATCTCATCTCTACCCACAGTGAACATGTTGACCATAGCTGCTTGCTGTAGCCAACAGGAGCAAGGCTCTTCTCTTTTCAAGCCCAGAGGCAATGTCTCAAGGGGAAACGTGGGACCCATTCTTTGCCTTGCTACTACTATAGTCTGCTTATCTAAAAATGAATGACATCCTAATCCAAAACTCTACGGAAGGTGTCCATACACAATTATTGCTTTCATTATACAGATATAATTGCCCTAATGTTAAAAATTAGATTAAAATTGATTTAGCAAAGGTAAAGGACACACAAAATGTGTTCAACGTTGTGTGTTCCTTACCTTTGCTAAATCATTATCCACTCTTTTATTATAATTACTCATTATCCACTTTTATATCATTCAGAGTAATGTGCCTCAGACTTCAATTAGTGAATGAAGGAATCATCTCAAGTGAACATTGCTTTACTTTCATCACCAATTATCTTGGGGTGATTCTTTCCTTTTTGCGACAGTTGGAACATTTGAACTAGGCCATATTGTGAAGTAATGATGAGAATGATTCATTATATCCATTGAATGTTGCACGAGTTTTAATCTTTGAAATCCTTCTCTTCACATGGTGCATCATTATGGGCAGACCTTACTAGAGGCTGAGAAAACCCACAGGAATTATATATGAGAAACATTCAAGAGTTATTTCAGGTCCTGAAAAACTGGGCTCGTTCAGCAGAAACCTGGCCCATGACCATAGTCATTATGCAATGACTACAATTAAATTTGTGTAACGATTTGGTTATAGTACATCTTCATAATTTTGTTCATGTTTACTAATAAGCTGGGTATTGTGGTTCATTATCCATATTCACTAAAATAGAGATAATATGTAATTTTGGCATAATTCCTCATTGCACTAATATAGACGAAAGGGTGTTAAGCCTATGTAGAAGTGTCACTTCCACTTTGCATATGCATGTATATCCTATGTGTAATCCATGGTGCAAAATGGAACTTCAATGCCTATTTGACATGAATGGAGGGTTATGGCATAGACTTGCATCTCATAATGTAAATTGTTTGGCATGCTACTTGTGAAAGCTAACTTGTTAAAGTTGTAAGTACTTGTAATTGGAAGCTGCTTTGCAGCAACACTATGTACAGGTACAGATGTTCTGCAATTGATGATCATGATATTCAGCTTTGCAAGTGATTTCAATGATGACAAGGATGAATGTAATAATACAACACTGGTCAATCAGCCTACATTTTTATTTTTAACCAAGACTTAGTGTGTTGCAGTAATGCCTCTAAATGCCACTGATGCCTCTTTGGAATAGAAAGTAGGTACTGGTTCCATTGCTACCTGCTACGAAGTAAATCTTTACCATTGAAATTATTATATGTATTAATAATTAATTACTGTTATGTGTTACAAAGTGTGTGCATGTGCCTACAGCTTGAGTAATCTATTATCACTGGCAAATTCAATGAAAATGGGGTAGATAGCATGGTCAGGTCTTGTAATGCCATCAGATATGTCAACTAAATAAATTTCCTGAAAATTCAAACCATATAAATTTGGCACAAGGGAGTTTTAAATCAAAGTAAAACTCCTCTGTCTGAGCCTGTGAAAGAGGTTCTAAATTTGTTTACTTGGTTGTCACTCTCCTCTACCTTCATACAAAACAGAGATAAGATATTAGCAAAATTTTTCTTCATTTATATTGTGTGCTCTAATTTTTACCATAGGATGAAGACCTGAGAATGGATTAAAACCAGAGTCTTATAATTTACTGTAAATCTGGTGGTGACTGGAAATGACTGAATGATGTGGACACTAGGATGCTTCTGCTTGATTCAAAATCCTTTTGATTCAGAGTGTTTGTCATCCGGGCACTAAACTTGAACTCCTTTCATTCACTCAAATGATTCATTCATCTCATGTAATTTTCTTCTGTTGTATTTCTGTTGCTTCCCTGCTATGCATGACATCAACCCAACTCAGTTATTCTATTGATATATCATAGACTTAGCAGAAAGTAACAGTATTGCTAAACTATCATGTTTTAGGCCTGCTCTTTCATGGCTGGAGGTTATGTTTTAAATATGCCTGAGTTATCATCCTACTTACCAAGGATCAGTTGATATCCCATGTCCAACTGTTGTTCTTCAATTTGGTCGGTTTCTTTCGTCTTGACAGTGAAAACAGCTGATGAGTAAATGGGACGTGTAATTTTGATCTGAAATTGAAGTTAATGCAAAGTTATATCCTGTTGTGGCATTTTAGCATTCATATGTCCAGTGGCTTTTATTCATTTTTACAATGTGAGAGGCCTTTTCCGATTGATATTTAATCTTTCTTGTGTGTTTAGTGTTGATTCCTTGCTTGATTGCTGATCGGTATATTGGAAATGTTTGTCCTGGTACCTCTAAATCTCTCTTGATTCACAATGACATGGACCATAGTAAGTGAACTTGCATTCTGTGCCTTTTATAATCAGTCTTCCATCGCTAATTAAATTCCCTAGCCTCAATATTTCGTCATTATCTCTGTAAATGATAGTGTTCTCTTGGTTCTCTTTTGATTTTCTTTTCTCCTTTTTATCATGTTGAATGGTCATAGTTGGATGTTTGTATTCAACGATTTTGAAATCTTGCTTGAGTGGCAGGTGACCATTGTAAGGCAGCTTGCCCTCAGTTCTTGATCTAAAATAACCAGACTTTTTCCGAGTTGTAATTTTCATCACTCACATATCCTTTAAACAACTGTCTAGTAATGTAGCATAACCCCTCCTGCAGAATATGGTTTCAAGTAATGAAAAAAACACCCGATGAAAACTACTTAATCCAGTTTGTTAGATTCTGACTGCTCTTTTGATAAATTGCTCTATAACAATTTCATTTATTCAAAATAAATTTCGTGAGCTATATTCTCCGATTGAGGGGAGTCGTATTACGAGGTGCGTGATTTTGCAGACTAAAATATTCCTCTCAATGAAGTTGTCCATTGTTCTTCGGTCAAAATTAGAAAAGACTAAAAGAAAAAGCCTCAAGAAAGGAATTATCCACAGAGTTTATCACCTACATCAGTTTAACTGCTTAGAAGAAGTTGTAACGACTTGTTCACTGGTTTATGACGAATACTTTTAAGTGATAGTTTTGTGAAAATAAACCAATTTGACGGCGCCCATAGCTATTTGTCATAACCAAAGTCCAATTTGCAGCGAATTTTTCTTCACATCGGTCTGTTTTATATAAGTATTACTACTTTCAATCTTAAATAGCATGTTTAGCCCTTTAAAAGTGAAATCCCCAGAGCCAATCGGTACCTAATTTATGAAAATTGGTTTCGTATTTCACAACTTTCCAGCAATGCAAGTGAATCCCATCCACCCTGGGCTCGTCACCTCCACCCCCACCAACCTCTCTTGCATGCCTAGAGCTAAATAGTGGGAGGTAAAAGTGAAAATGAGGCTTGCAAAACCAAAGGAGTAGCTTGTCTCCGAAACAGACTGCCCCCCCCCCCCCCCCCCCCCCCCTCTCCGTCCGCCGTATATAAACGAGAGACAATGTACGGGAGGGTTATATGAGGAGGAAGAATTATGATAATGAAACGGGTTTAGCACCAACGGGTAGACGGGAGAGGCGAGAAGATATCCAAGGTCCTTGTTATCGAAGGACGAGGCTTCGTGCTTGTTTGTGCGAACGATGCCAGATTTGGTTATCGTTACTACTACTAGCATAAATGTTTGTGTAATATATCACAATGTTGCTTGTTAATGTCAATGGAAATGGAGAGAGATAAGAGAGTGAATGCAGTCCGTGGCCGAGGAGTAAAGGCAAAAATGTGCTTCTACACAATGGGATTTTGACAGACCTGTTTGAGTTTTTATGCGGTTCTCTTTTGTTAATTCAATGTGATGGATGTTGGGACAACTGGTCCGCTGGTCGAACCGCACCATCCATCGTTTCCAGCTGAGTCTAACATGTTCGATATGGTCGGGGACCAGCTACTATTTTCCCTTTTAATATGCACGATGCGTGGGTATTGGGTCTGTTTCGGAGACAAGCTACTCCTTTGGTTTTGCAAGCCTCATTTTCACTTTTACCTCCCACTATTTAGCTCTAGGCATGCAAGAGAGGTTGGTGGGGGTGGAGGTGACGAGCCCAGTGTGGATGTCTCGCCCACCTAGCAACTCCTCGTCTCTAGCCGCGGGCCCTTCTTCGGTAGGGTCTGTGGGGGTTGTCTGTTCAATCTCTCCTCTCATTCTGCTTTTGGCAGTCTGACTCTCCTTGCATATAGTTCTCCCCGGTCAGTATATGGTTGCTTTGGCTATCCTGTGTATGTTACGCGCTTTTGCACGGTGCGTGGAATTCCAACTTTTTCCCTTACTTCGAAAGGTGCTGGTGTTAGCGTTTCGACCCTGCCTTTCTGTTGGCCCTATCAAGCGTCAGTTGTGGCCTTTGCCTGTCCATTGAAACCGAAGTGGAGGGCCTTCGAATGGCCGGAGCCCATTGACGAAGCCCGCGATCGGACCCGTCTCTCTCTGGGCCCGACCGACTTCGCACGCCTTCTGGATCTGGCTTTAGCCTCATCCATCTCTCTCTTATCTGCGCCTAAGAAGAGATG